CACTCATACGCTACAGATGCTTTCAAGCTTTCAGCCCCGATAATGGACGGCGCGAAACACGTTAAATGACTTTTGAGGTAAAGACAAGAGGACTGGAGTTTGAAAACATGCATCTTATGCCATGGTAAATAGTGGTCTGATATATAACCGGTTTTAAAAACTATTTCATAGCTTACAATAATGTGATAACAAGAAGGTAAAACGACCCATGAGATGGTGAGATAAGTAGGAAAATGAGACAACCTTGTTAATAAAGTAGGAGATGCCGTGGACTAAGAGGACCACACTACATTGTAGACGAAGGATAAAGAAAGGAGGCGCCCAGGGAAGATGTGGGCTTAGCGTACCGGAGAAAACGAGAAACGTGGGTGGAGGTGGGAAATGAGGAGGATAGGGAATATGGTGCAACATTTAACCCGTCATTTGCCAGTTTGGCCAGTGCTTTTATATCCTTCATACCATCGTTATTTCTGCACTTATTCTTTGACTATGGACATATGGTGGACACCAATTTATGTCAATACTTACCGGACGTAAAACCCGTTAAATCAAGGGTAGGACTTATCTAGCATCATGTTAACTATTATTTACCGCGGACGGCATTCTATGCGCTTCCTGAATGCATTTTAACTAAAACACAAGAGTTAGGACTATGTTATGTGCAAAGGTGTCCATCGTGCGCGCATGGAGCCCTCAGCCCCTGGAAAAAGTTTATGTGACAAGGGGTTTCCTACGGGCATATTCTTTGGCGTCATCCATCTGCAGCCTTTTCAAACAGCGTGCCTTGTCGATCAACCTTTTTTGTCTTTGGCTGGGGTGAACAACTGTTTCATAAAACATGCCGCTTAAAATGTGAATCTCGAGGAAAATAAAAGGCTTTTTAACCTAAAACTAACTTTAATTACGCATTTGAAACATTGCTTGTCCGCTTCGGGCTTCGAATTTTAGGTGGCTGCATCTTCTCACCATGAATTACTACTGTTCTTCAATCATCCTTCATTATTAGATGTAAGTACATTCTACGTGCCTCCTGAGTCGTCGAGTTGCATTTTTCTCGTCCTCTTTTCTCTGCCAGATTCTCGTAGTCACCATAAAGCCAGTACTCTCTGGCTTAACTTCCCCTAGCAGCTTGCGAACAGGTTACACAAAACATGTCATCGGATGGCTGTCATATCTTAGACGATTTAGCAGTAGCCATTAACGATCTATGACCGGTCTGTGAATTGTGAACGCAGGTTTTCACGCTTCTCCCTCATTTGCCAATGGAATCCTACGGGGGCAGTTCACCGCTTATTGCACATTGGCAATTCCAACTTACTAACGAGTCCTACATCACCAATAAACGCCTCGACATTACAGCTAAATACATGAATATCTTCATTATCGCTTCATTTTCTTCAGAATTAAGTTTTCTGCCAGTTATGCCATGATTTGCGGTGGAAACTGCAAATACGAGGCCAACTTTCTGTAATCTGCAGCCTGGATTACACCTCTGCCAGGTTTTTAGGCGTAATGTTTCGTGAATAACCCCGTAGCTAGTTTCCTCTCGGAAAGTCAGCATGCGTCTAGTAGTTGTTAGGTCAGTTCACGGTGTCGAACGTGACGCGGCGGCAGGCTTTGTCAAGGAAACGATACAAATGAGCAACATGTGAGCTTAGACGATGGAAACTGCACATGCTCACACATCGCGATGTACAACAAGCGACAGTAACATCTGGGGACGACTTTAACCCAAAGTGACCACCAAAAGGACTTTCACGGAAGATGAGATTGTAATTCGCGCTGGTTGGTGTGTGAGGATTCTGAAAGGCTGTGACTGGTTTGTTTGTAAGGGGGCATAACCGACCGCCGGTGTGTGATACGTGCGCTTGTGTTTAAACCACTGGTGTTTACAAAACTTTCTAATTTGTGATATCGCCGTTACGGCCATGATGGTTATTGAGTGTCTATGAATGCCATTATTGTGATACTGTTTATATTTCGCTTCATTTTATTGACTTTCCACGTGCGTGCTTGTTAACGATGTTGTTTCCGCTAATTAGTTACACTCCGATTTTTTCCTCGTAGGCATCAGTTTGCCGATGTTATTTTCAGTTTTTGCACTCTTGTATGCAGGTATTGGTGAAATTTTCGTTGGATTTACTTTCCCATGTCGCTGGACTACAATTCTTTTACAGGCATCTCTGCTCACGGAATGTAGTGGCAAACGGGTGTTTGGTGGAAGTGGCTTTGACTTTTAGAAGTACCGTAATATGATCCGCATCCAGTGCGTTAGAGAGATTTCATAAAATAGGGCTGACAACAGCAAGGGTGTGTTTATCGTAAATATCAATCAATTTTTAAATAACATACTTGTTTCACAGTTTTTAGTAACAAAAACAGTGATGAAGGGAACTTTCTGTGCAGTTATTGATATGCGCGTGACCGTTCAACTTGAACCTGGTTCTAATATTTCAGCGCTGTTAAGCAGTTCATTCTATACTGCTTTCAATGGAAGGCACGCCGACATAATTGTCATATTCTTACAGGTCTATTACGCGTTTCACACAGCTGGACACTCTTGTATATAGTAGAAGAAAGCCGTCTGCAGACTGCTACTCCAAGCGATATGCCTTCACTTTTACGCTTTCTTTAGATCCTTTTCAGAATCAGTGACATCTTCCAGAAACAGACAGCACCAATAGAACCAGAATGGAGAATTAATGGCTTTTGATCCCTTTTATCTAGTTCTGAGGTTGTGGCTATTATTTTTTGGTTTTGTACCCACAGTGACCAACGAGACCTCTCCTAACCACGTACCTTTAGCTCTGGTGAGATAAGTTTCCCAGCGGGTTGGCATTTGCAACCCTTAGGTTGGGTTGGTGGGGAGGCCAGCAGTTGTTGAGATGCTTAGAAGGCCGTCCTAGCTCCTGTCTCAATAGGTGACTGGACTGGAACTGTGGGAGACTGGGAAAAAGTATGTAGGATGCTCGCGAAGGAGAAAAATGGACACCATGAGTCCAGTAATTATAACAGAGCAAGAAGACAATGCAGGTACATGAGAGGCAAAAAGATGGTGAGTGATAAATGAGAAGAGAGTGATAATGGGCTAGTGTAACCACTAATGTTCTGAATCCACTGAAGGACAGACGTGCGAACCAGTTAACTGGTCAAGCCTTCTACGAATAAGTCTACCTAAGGGACGGTGATTACATCTCGCACCGAAACATTCCATTAGGTGTAAGCTGTCAGGGAGAAGTTCTAATTAGGCCCAAAGTCTACCCTCTAATGTGCTGCTTCGGTTGTATTCCCTCACGGTGACCTCCATATTGCAGTTAAGACCAGTAAATTGATGTGACTTGCCTGGTGGATGATATCATCGGCTATAATTAGGCCACCCTTTCCACTGCTATAGCCTAAGGCGGATTAGTATAGGTGCCACACTCCATCAGAATATGTCCCTCCCTAAGCTCGACAAGTGATTTTATTGCAGATCTTTGCATTTTCTCAGGGCGATTGGCGTCTGTCTTCATTGTCCATGTTGAAAACTTCCAGAAGCGGCCGCATATAGAATTTGAAAACTGTCAGAAATGGTTTGTGAGTAGCAGTAGCAACTTGTCAGTGCAGAAAGTACTAACAGGCGTTCACTGTGGCTGCTATTCCTTCGCAATTAGAGATAGAACCTAGGGTATCAGAGATGTTGAGCCACGGATTTTTTCCATGGGCGATTAGGGGATAGCATAGTTGCTTAACTTGTATTCCTATTCCTCCGTTCTCGCTACGTGAGCACTGATGTTCATTAATTCGGATTTTCCCAGGCTGAGGCCCTAGCAGTTTCCTAACGACTAGGTTCCTAATTGCTGCAAGCAACAACTTAGCGATCTGCAACTGGCCTTTTCCTGCACCACCCTAAAAGTAAAAGTGTCATCAGCCCGATGAGATGTCCTGTTAAGTCATATCTCTTCTAAACTAAAAAGTAAAAATATCATAGTCATTTTGCTGCGCCCAGCTGTAAACTTCCCCGTAGGACAAGCAGCCTGGACAGTCCAGAAACGAGCTCAGCCTGACGTTTTATGTGCTGGACCTTCACCTAAATTCTTTTCTTTATGTGTACCCTTGGCCTGAAAAAGTAAAACAAAAAATGGTTATTCATTGAAGTTCGCTAACATTCCGCTAGCCATGGGCATACAATATGGCAGTGAAATTATTTCCAATGTTTTTGATGCTTATGCGCGCATTGATATTTGCTTTGAGTCGTACAGAAAATATTTTTCTCTGATTTTCAGGTACATGTTCCTTAATTATGGGCCAGAGGGAAGCGGTCATATTACACAAATAATGTCATCCTGCGGAAGTCACTTGATCAACCTATCCATAGAGGAAGGCGGTGAAAAAGAAGCCTAATTACAGTGTTTTTTCAGCATATAATTCGCACTTACCGAACAATCAATGAGTTTAATATCTCCAACCTAAATTTGAATATGAAAGTTTCCCCATACCCCCAGAAAACGTTTAATGATTGCAGCATTTACCGAAGCAAAAAGTCAAGCTGATACTAAAACATTGGTCCAAAAGACCTAATTAACATCAGTCTGCGCAATTTTCAATGAAGAAGAAGCAGCTGATATTTACCAAATACCAAGCACCTAACCACTTTATTTTTCAAACTGTAGCTGAAGATAATTTACTATTGCTTTATTTTCTAAATACACTGACTGGTACACCTACCAAACACAAATTTCAGCTGCTCAGAGTTAAAATCCGAAAATCATCTTGTGTGTTACATTGAGAGTTGGTTTAAAGCTGGAAACTGTTCCGCGTAAATCATGTCCCACGCTACGCCGTCGTACGTCACGTGATGAATGCACTAACTTCTGCTCCTTTTGCCTCTGGTCTTCTAGTTTTTGAGGTTTTAGCCGCATATTTCTGATCAACTAGTTTTTTTCACCTGCTCTCATGCACAGTCATACTCGATTTTCTTGTTTGTGTCTCCTGTATATAAATGAGTACCCGTGAGATCGATGTATCAACGATCTCTCCTCGTAATTCTTGTCTTGTGGACTACCAACGAGGTTTTATGCTCTTCTGGTGATGATGGATGCTTCGGACTATTCGGTAAGCAACGTAGTCCATGTCATGAACCTATAAACTTGTAGAAAAGCTTAAATGGAATAGGACATTCAGTTTTAATAATAAGGTATTGACACTCAAACTCGAAGTTACTGATGATCCACCACATTGGATTGTGAACTATCTATTCGAGATTCTAGCTCGAGAACGGTTGGGTTACACGAAGATCGAATTCGTTCGAACAGAGGGTGGTGATATAAGCAATGCTGTTAAAAGACTGCAGTGTTCCGATACTCAGTAAGTTTAAATAAAAAATTGATTTTTATTATGCTTTGGCTACATTTAAGCTGTTCGCAATCTGGTATGTATATTGTGTTGCAATCCCGTCTTTATCACCCACCAAAATAGATTTTTTGTATCACTATGTGAATAAATATTTCACGGACAATGTCACTACTTAGGTGGGATTTCGTATTATTTTTGAATTAGTGACTCAAGAATGTCTGGTTGGGATGCAGATTATCTTTTCTTATGATGAACATCTTTCAATGTTAAGGATAGTCAAGCATTCTGTGGTAATCCTTGTAGTAGACATCTCCGTAAAGATCCGATTTCTCCTTGAGAAAATTTGTCTAGGAGACGGCTACCATTAGTACCTGTAGAGAGTTCTAGTCGTTGATCACTATTTGAGGAAATTTGAGTACCACTCAGTTTATTCGTTCATGGCTTTTGATCCTTTGTATAATGACTTACATTCAGAATTCCACTGAGTTTTCTGGATTTGCTTCCCAGAGGCATACCTAAACACAAGTGTAGTAGTCTTTTAACCTCACTAGCTATAGTTAGTGGTTCAAAAAGATAGCGTCCCGAGAAAATTTTATTGAAGAGGCAAACAAATCAACGTAGAACCTTGCTCTGAAGAGGATAAGTCCAAATTAAAATTTCACAACTCATGAATAGTTGAATAGTAAAAAAACCAGAATAGCTCATCGAGTCACTCTGATGTGCAAGGCTGACTGCTAGTCGACTCACAATACACAGACGACATAGACTTTGGCGAAAACTGAAAATATGCACAGTTCTCTAACAATGTTGAGTGGCAACTTTAGGATACTACGAGTCTGCATTGATACTGGAAGGAAATATTTGGAAACGTTGGTCACTTCACCTAAGCAGGAAGTCGAATTAACCGACGTAAAGGACCCAATGGCTTTTGCCAAACTTCGTAACTTGGGAAATCAGATATATGAGCGCTTTTCAAGAGTTGAGTGCATCGTGTGATAGTGTGCTCTGTGCCACTATGTATCTATTCAAAAGACTTAAAAGTGGAAAAAACAAATAGGTTTCAGGTACTTGACCGCCGTCGTACCACTAGTATGTGATGGAACAATTATTTAACGTAGAAGCTAGGTCTTGGTTAAAAGATGTAAGTTGATAGGTCTGTAGACCTTCACCGACTGTGATTTTTGGGACGTATTTTACTTATTTCTAATCACCCTTTGTTCTGGCAAGAAATTCTAGCCGAAGTAGGATTAGGTTATAAAACGTTTAAAGGCCTAAAATTGATCAGACCTAAACATAACATTCCCCAAGTCTTATTGCTGTAAGTCATTTGCAGAAATGTAGACTTCCAGGATTGAGCTTCCAGGAAAACGGAAACATGATTAAAGACTAAATGGTGCTGTCCAAAACTTTTTGCACTGAAGTAGGAATCTGTATGCTATCCCTTCATCGTCACTTTTACGTCACACTTCATTATATGCTTTACATCTTATTCTTATCTCATAGGTTTCTATGCCTTTAGGCGTTATTTTTATTCCTTTATCTTCCCTCATGTTGTCTTGCACTTTGCTGTGCCGATGTAAGTAAAGTAATAACTGATTCGGTACAGCAATATATACTATGCTATTAGCGATACAGAATATGTGATGGCTTGTGATGAAACTCGGTTTCTCAGACTGAAGTACATGAAGCGAAATATGAACCCTGGATTCATTGCTTGAAAGCTAATTGCTTAAACCAATAAGTCTATCTGGCGTATGGCGATTTGAACCTTTATGCAGCAAACCCGTTCTTGTTTGGATAATATCTGACTGCATCATTTTCCTCTCCTTTGTTTATGATCTTTGAATCATTTTGACTATTAAAATGCGTTGAAATCTACGTTTTAAAAACGGTCTGTTAACTTACCACCTCATTTCAAAGTAGCTGCTCAGTTAACCTTAGGATCATATATATATATATATATAATTGGGAAAGTTGACTGAGCAGAAATGTAAAATGATTTACTTCAGCTGTATATTGGGTATTTACCATCATGGCATATTCGTTATGTGTAAATTTAGTCAGTCGAATATTTGTGGTGTCTTGGATTATGAACAGCCAACTCGTTTTGTCTTGCAAAATACACAAATTACACTTAGCACGAGATGGTGAGTTAAATAGTGGTTAACGTGTCAAACGGTCATTCCTACTTGATTTTAGGTGTTTACAATTACCTGAAACTCATCTCAACTTACTTCTGTGGTTGCCAGTTGGTGGAGATGTTAAATTTTGGGCGCGACCTTCTTCTGTCACTGACCATGGCCCTCTTGGACCTATCCGCCCCTGGAAACTCCTTACACAGGTAAGTGCCTAACCATACAGTTATTCAGTTTAGCATTTTATTTTACCAACTATGAATCTGAAAATTTAAGTATTGCAATGAATCTGTCTGTCTTATATGGTTTGAAGATGTAACTGATTGGCTTAGTGAATCAAATTTCAACCGGTCGGTTTCAACTTCAAACCTCACTTTACCTACTTCGGCTTAGGTAACCGAATACTATTATAAGCCCTCACAATGCATATAAATGTTACTCATAGCCTGGTACATAAATGCATGCCAAAACGTATTTTCAAACTGTATTTTAAAAAAATATCGCTGTTTCAAAATATCCGCCATTTGTTATTTCTGCCGCTAAGTAAAGCATGAGGTTCTAAGGATATCACTTGTGGTTTATGAATATTTGGAGTATTCCAATATACTCACTGTCGGTAATTACATTCCAATCCTTCAGCCAAGATATCTTTTTGATCAGTTCCTTCTCTATAGCTACACAGTAACTTGAAATTTGAGATTGCTAGTATAGTTTTTGAATGGCCAAAGGGAGCGTAGAAACATTGAAAAAGAGCACCAAAACAAACCGACGTAAAGCTAATGATTGTGAACATAGTAGAAACGGGTTAAACAAGTTTCTTGTCATCTAACTTCTGTATAACAACGGCGTCTGCAGTTCAAAGGAGCTTGAAATCTACCACTGTGGTTAGATTATTTTCACCCCGCAAGTAACGTCGAATCTGTTATGCTTCTGCGGCCAGTATTATGGAACCATTTGATAAACACAGTTGTGATGGATACTGCCTGTAGCCGGACGTTTGTTGTGTTTATGTCAAAAAGCCTATTTATCATTGACAACCCTGTGTTGTTTTGCTGTTGCTTCCATGCTTCCTTTGATCACTCTTTATCTCAAAAATTATCTCAGCGTATTACGGAACTTTATGTCAGTATAATTGGGGTACTGTGCTGGATTGTAATTCCAAATCAGATGAGCCTTTCTGATATACTGAACAGTGGTACAGTATTACTTACTAAATGGTGTTTTTAGCATAATTTACTGCTCAAAATAATGTCTACATAACCACACACCTTTCCTGTTTTGGTGTTTTTTAAGTTTTACGCTTTCCACCGTTTGATTTTATTGGTTGTAGGATTTTCCATATATGTGAAATCAGTGTTGAACCATTCTTTTTACGCTTATCGGGCGTTGAACCGATGGACAAAGATTAAAACAGTCAATCTCTGTCCCCATTTAGCTGCATTAATCTGTAGTCTATCACACTCTCTGTTTTGGTTCTGCGTCATCACTGCATAGCTATGATTGATTATTCAGTTTAGTAGGGTCTGTCAATCTAGACTGAGCTTGGTTCCTGTTTTCCACTGACCTGAATAACCCTGATCAGCTAGTTTGACTTACATATGATCTTCAAGTCACTGCAAGGTATTATGATAGGTCGAACCATTTCGTCTAATTAGGTCAGCAGAATCCTTAAACCGACAGAGTTTCCCCCTCAGTGAATTTCTAGGTTTGAATGCCATCCTAATCCCAACCTTAATGATAATGATACATCGGATTTCTGATGTTTCTTACCTGTATATGAAGCATATACACAAGTTGTCTTAAATTTAGTCCAGTAAATAATACTGTTCTATTATGTGAAACATAATAAATCAACTGAAATGGAATTGCATGCTACCAAAGTGCCCAGGCCTTACTCTTATATAAACCCTATGGATTTCTTCAATCCCTTGTCAGTTGTATTGCAGTCATTGCTCACAGCATTAGTTTAAAATAAATGGTGGATTAAGAAGACGCTGAGATAGTTATAGTTTGGCAGACCGGTATTATTCATAAGTGGGTGATGATTGACGGTGAAATATAAACCTGGATGGCAGCAGGATTCGAACTAGTGGCCTCAGGATTGTTGATCCGACCCTCTACCAACTGAGCTATGAGACCTAGGTACGACCATTTAGATCTTATCAGCAGTTGGGTCTCGTAGCTCAATTGGTGAGTTGCCAGGTCGATAAACCCTGAGGCTGCTGGTTCTAATCTAGATTTTCATTTCACCTGCAATCATCACCCAGCATAAGTTGTGCTCAGAAACTTCATCTGGTTATAATTTATGGGACTTTATATTGAAAGTTATTGATTCTCCTGACTTTTGTGCTGTCTTAGAATTAATTTCCACCTACCGCAACACTTGGTTTTTTTCACATTTTGGTTAACGTAACCGTAACTTTCGATTGGTCCTATTTTTGTTCATCAACAAAAAACATCCGCAATGATGAGCCTTTTAGCCACATTACAGAATGACCGATAGAATTCGGTCAGCACTCAGAACTAGACAATATGAGATTGGTTGCTCTTCTATGATCAATCAGTGTTTGTAATCCAGTCGGTTGCGACCCGAATAGCTCACTAGTAACGTCTCTGTCTGCAGCAATGGATGAATGGGTTCGAATCCCACAGGGAACATCACTTCCCTCGAAATCGCAGATACGCCTTGCTGACGAATGCCAACAAGCGTGAAATCTAGGTCTAGGGCTTTCTGCTCGTTGTCTCCAACCAACTAACATACATCATGGACCAGACCGTATAAAATTACTATATAAAATGAAGATGAGGTCTTCACTAGATTTCGTTTTGTCGCCGTTACTTTTGCTTACTTAACTGTAATTACTTTACTTCTTTTTTGTAGTCATGTTACAAATCACACCACACAAGAAATCTAAACTACACTTCACCTTTGAAATATGATTGTCGCTCCAGTGATGATATAGTTAGTCGAGGTGAGCATATATTTACGCATATTTGGTGTATAAACTTTGCATCAAGAGATTCCTTCTAGCTTATGATGAAGTATTTCCTGACTCATTTTTCTTGCTGCTATCTTTCTACGGCAAGTAGTTAGTTTGGTAGCATTTTCTGTCGTCTATCATTACTGTATGTAAAATTAGCTCTTTACATTCATGAGAATGACAGTTTTAACAGAGAACAGGGAAACTAAGCTGCATGATATTCAGGATAGTCAACGATCAACAGACATATTGACGTTGACTCAATCTATCAACCAATAAGAAACAACAAGAACGTTGAAGTTCACACCAGCAGAACAACCAATTGAAATAAATGTGGAGACAATGAAAAGACTAGTAGAAACAACCAGTCCTACACAAGGCTATCAGGACAAGCTACTAAGGCATTTGTACAGAAAACCTTATAACTCACTTCTTTCTGAAGTTCGTGCTGGTGATGTCTAGAATGACAAGGAAAGCTTCACGGTTAAACCATCCAACTCAGAAAACACAACACCAGCAAAATCAGCTTCATGCAATTTAGTAACTAAGATTAGGTATGTTAATGACTGTTAGGCTGTATATTAAAGATGAGGCTCCCAGGTACTGATCTAATTCAGATTTCACACTGAAAAGGTGAAACTGAAAAAAACTGAGCAGGTTTCATGAAATAGTAGTATCTCATAGCAGATACTGTGTCTATTCCAAACTTAATAGGTGTAGCGGGTCTTGAATCTACAATCTAGTTAAAAGATTTCGTGTTTCAGTAATACTCTATAGCTCCTAACTTACTAGCTTACCAGGGAAAATATGCAACTGGCCACTCCAGTGTTTTTCGTCTGTATTCTTCTGACTTGAGATCGAAAATATGTCAGTCCACGCTCCTCCACTTCTGAACTGCATGGTGAAAGGAATGACGTAAAAATTTGCACATGAAGAAATAAACACAGGATGATAAAATTACTAGTTTCGAAAACTGACTTGATATAGAATAATATCAAAAATAACTCAGCCATGCAGACTAGTGTTCTCAGTCACTGACTCTTGTTAATCAGAGTATTCCTGCCAACGTACCTACTGTTGACAAAAGGTAAACCTTTAAAGCTCAGAATTTGTTTCAAGTGCCAACAACCCAGTGAAGTTTTTTAAGTTTGACGCTTGTCAACAAGTATTAGGATAAATGTAACCCATTTGAATTATATTGAGAGATTTCACCTCGATTTACCAAGTGGATATTGATGTAGTTCTGTGTAACTAGTTTGCATTTTTGTGAGTCTGTGAATTTCACTTTGTGTTATTCTTAAGTGTGCGAAGGGATGTGCATTGGTAGATTTTCGTGTTAAACTATTTCTTACTGATTTTTTCCGTACCATGTCAAGTTTTTTGGTACTCTCCCTTCCTGTCCAGGTTATAATTGAATACTGGTGGTACGCTAGTAAATTGTCTTTACATTACGGGCTAATTAAGTGATCTTTTAACTACTTCATTCTCAATAGGAAATATTTTGGTGATACCAGTAAAAATCTCTATACTTTCCTAACAAAGTTTCTTTCTTTTTTCTTCACAAGACTTATCAGGATATCAAAAGAGAACTGTACAGAATCCAAATATGTTCCAAAACCATAGCTTGGTCTCTGAGAATTCAATTACTGTTTTAGATTTTGAACTGAATTCGACATGTCTGCGATATAATTTTTATAGTATTCCCCCACCTCCTTTGTGCAGTGCTGATACTCGACCAACCTCAACTAAAGATCACCAGTATTGCTACACAGAGTCTTATCGACCTGTCAAAGTGACGTGGGCCAAACTGCAGACGGCAACTCCACAAATCTTTCAGCTTGCTTCCAAAATGTATATGTCACATGATGAACTGGCGGAAATGGTTCATTCAGTACGTTGTTGCAATTAAATTTACTGATCAAAATTTCCGAATTTCGTCTTTCGTACGCGTTTTTTTATGATTTGGTGGTTGCGGTCACTATTTTTCGTTATCTAGAAGAGGATTTATGGTGAATATGATTTCACTCTCAAGGTTTCTAGGCCTTTATGTGAATTTTAGTTGTAATAGGTGAGGGAGTAGGATGATCAATGGAAATCAGAAGTTACTGGAATGCTACCTTGTGTAAGTCCTAGGATTTTAACCAGTACACAGTTTACTTCTGTTTGAATTGAGTAGTGTGTGGTAGATTGCAATGCAGATATTAAAAATCCAAATGTCAGTGTGTGGAATGAAGTGGCTCCGAAACATAAAAAGTCAGGCATTTAGACGGCATCCTAGTTGCCCTATAGGCGTAACACTACAGTTTTTTGACAGGACTGACCAACGCTTTCTTATCAAGTCGATTTTACGCTCATGTTTTTTTCCTTTTTTTTGCCTCTTTCTCACTACCCTTTCATCCCTATAAATGCCATTACTGTAATTGCTCTTTTTTCTTTTGTTGCTATTCCATCGCTGTTATTGTGAAATATGTCAATTTGGATCAATATGCAACCGTGCTGAATTCTGCAAGAGCAAAGACATTTTCAGAATAAAACGAGCTCATTTTATGTCACTGCTTTTCATCAGCTGCATACAGCTAACAACAAATAAAATATTAGTGGTAATAATGATATAATCTGATTTAAATGTGTAGAAATAAATGAAGATTCAAAGCCCAGAATTAACAATCGGGTAGTTAGTCGAGGAAACACGATTAGTAATCATAGTTCTTAGTTAAAATCAACGGCAATTTGTATCTGATGAGATAAAAAATTCTGGAGCTGGGAAAAGGGGGAGATAACAAACAGACAAAAGTATAAAAGAATGAACCGTTAAAGAGCCAGTAGGTCACGTAATGATGTAAAAGCGTTAGTTTGAGTGGTCAACAGTCAGTAAGTAATTCATGTAGGGATGACGCTACCAACGAAGAAAGGAAAGTCATGTACATACACATACATATAAATTTCCAGGGTAAAAAAAGTTGAGTACAGTCTTTCTGAGTACACAGGTCAGGTTGATAATGGATGGATGGGTTCTTTCCAGACTAGTGTTATTGAAACTGGATAGTGATTAAAAGTGAGATAAAAGACGGGATCGTGGTGAGATTCGAACCTGGGTTACCTGTCTGATTGATCTTCGAAACCCAACTGCAAATATCTGATCCGAATCGAAATCCATCCAACACCCTTGTGCACATTCGTACACTAAGGAATGAGCCAAACTTGTTACGCAAGAGTAAATGATGCTACCTGGTTGCTTAAATCTTGGTAGATTGAGCTGGATTAGAACCCTTGAGCCATCGAATGGGAATCAAGCGCCCAGACCAATGAAGCACAGACGTCATTAAGGATCAAGTGAGCTACACAGTAGTTCACTCTGTCCTACTATATGGCTGTGAAATCTAGCTATTAAAAATGGAGGATATAAAAAGGCTTCAGGTGTCTGAACGTTATTACTGTCATAACGATACCGGTGTGTTGCGAAACCGCGACATCATTAATACAGAATTCAAGACTACAGTTTTAGGTAGAGTTGAGTTAGTTGGTGAGGCTGATTAACCTTGACCGACTTAGATGTCTAGGATATGTTTTGCGAATGCCTAGTCACCGTCTACCGCGTCAAACATTGTTGGCTCATGCAGTTTTAGGTTGGAGACGAGTTCGAGGTGGCCAAACTAAAATGTGGTATCGGTGTCTGTAATTTTTGATCTGTGATCTTTATCATACGTGTGATATGAGCTCACTATTGGGCTTCAACGTTTTAGCTGAAATCGATCTTTTCCTTTCCTTGCGGTTATACTTCGAATGGATTTTGGCTATGCTTATTTGTTCTTTTCCTGTAAAATACTTTTTACCTTGACTATGTGAATGGTATCATTTTATTTTGTGACAATACGCAGTTTCTGAATTGGTACACGATTGACGATGACCTATACTTGCAGTTTTCTTTTACGATGAATTGTTGGAAGTTATTGAGAGGTTTGTGTACCTGAAAATTTGTCTGACTACTGATAAAGGTGTAATTAATAATATTTCCAACTGTCCAGTAGAAGCGCATAGCGACAAATTTCATTGTCACTTTGGTGGCGCCGGTTGAAAGCAGTAAGTGTAATATAAAGCTGTTCCTTGTCTTTGTAATTAAGTTTTCGTAAACTTTTTTAGACGTAGAACAAGAAAGTAATTTAATGTCATGCAATCAGTAATACTGAGTTCTGATTCACAAGGTTTTCGGACTAATCAATAGTAAAGAATGAGTTGACCATTTTGATTTTGTCAACGCACCTAAACTACCTTTTAAAGAATTTGTGTTAACAACCGCCAATACTGTTAATTAGGTTTCATTTCCAGGTATAAAATTGCTTTTCATATGATTTCATTTTCAAATTTGTGCTATTTTATTTGTGGATAAATAAGAAAAACCCCACTTTTACTCAGTCTAGCATTGAAAATTGTGTTTAAAATCTTTCCAGCAGTATTATTACCTACGATGCAAGTACATTTTATTGTTGAACTCTATATTGCACGATTCCATGTGCCTTCTACAATCCACTGATAGCCAGTTCACTGCAGGTCATCACCTGTGTCTTATTTAAATATAATACGACGTTTTTTACCCTGAATTAAACAATTTTTTTAAATCTTATCGTCTTGGACCTGATTTATATGCTCATCCCTTTGTTATTCATTACCTTTATTTAAACAATTTTAAAAATTACTGCATTTTCATATACCCATTCACTAATCATGTGTTGTTTTGACCGTCACTTTCAAATAATTCCTAGTCAATTTGATTATTTATTTATAAATTTTATCCACATTATTGCATTTAATGAAAGTCAGTCTAGATGAACTTCAGTATAATGACAAGCGTCTGACTGGAGTGTGGGAAGCAGTATTGGTTAGTAAACTAGTCTTAGTCTATGGAAATGATGATTGAAGTTGAAGTAGAAGCCTGAATCGTAACAGCATTCAGAATTATTCACCTCCAGTTTGCCGTCTGGTTTTCTGCGAAATGAGATATGAGATGCAACTTTCAACCAGGTCTCAATTTCACTTTATAATTGCGATAAGTTATATCCAAGCTTTGGTTTCTGCTTTGAGCAACACTCCTTTGAAATTTCGCACTTAAATATGATTTTACAGCTTTGAAAATAAAGTTGAAAGTGTAAGGTTTACTACTTCTACAAACAAATGTAAGTAGCATATGCCAAGTAAGTTTATCATCTAATCGGTAGAAGTTCTGACTGAAAAAACGTGGGACAAAGAAAGAAAATACAGAAGGCTGAGGAACAGAACTCTAAGGAGAAACTTATTTGCGATATAGAATGCAGAATCTTTGAATGAACTGTGTTCACTGTATGATTTTCGTATTTTACTAAGACTCAGTTTAATTTCATAACAACCGATTCCAACAATCCCCAGCTTTGTTCCTACTGCATAAAGAGAATATTCATTGCTAAAATCTGTTGCCTGTCTATCTGATTGAGGATTTGCTTTGGAGATAATACAAAATAGATATGTGTTTGATCTCATCATTATTGCTGAAAGTAAAGCACTTGGCTTACCTTACCTTACTGTTTAGAACCAAGTTTATGCTATAGTTCAAGTTAACAAGTAGTAGTATCATTATTTCGCTCTTTTTGTTCAGGCTTTGCTTAGCACCAACGCAGACCGTCAGTCAACATATAAGCAGGTTGCTTGCCGTTGGCTCCGTCAAAACCCAAGTAAATGGAAAAGCTGGACAGTTGACTGGGACAAAAAGCTCAATTTAACTGTAGCAGGTTTATTCAGTATGTATGGGAAGTGGGTGCTCTATGGGCTTGATCGAGGTTTGTCACTTTTTGTCTACGGATGAATTATTTGCCTAATTTGTTGATGCTTGCAATTCCCTGTTGATTATTATATATTGTACCGAATTGATCGCCCCTCTCCCTCCTTTGTAACAATGGATGTTTCAGTATTGCCTCAAGTTTCCATTCGATATTGCTTGAAAACGGAATCCAGAAAGCACTATTTGTTCTGTTCTACTCATCAGTCGGATTTATCTGCCCCTCAGTGAGTGATGGTGTTCTCACTGAGATGCAGTGTCCATCGCTTCAAACTCAAAAGCATTATCTACTAGGCTACTGAGTCATGGCAGCCACTACTCTTAACATATGAACTTATTGAAGGAAAAACACACCTCCTGGATTCCATTGTTAGTTACCACCGCGTATATATTCACTTGATATGCAAAAAGTGTATTTCAGTGTTAAGCATTGTGTATATGCCAATTATCTTTTGTTTCTGCAGTTTAAATTTACATTGTGTTGTTTAAATCATCAAGCTGTATTTGTTCGCTTCGAGGTTAGTTCAAATTTTCACCGAAATCAGAAGAAAAGCATTTTCAGAATTCATTTAAATAATGAACTAAAGATGAATTTTGAGTGGTATATTGTATTAGTTAATAAATAGGAAGAAAGAAATTTTCAATCAAGTCCACCACCAGTTCGATAGGTTTATTTAGTCTCATACTCTACATATACACTTTTATTTTCCATAATTTACCTAAGTGACAGAAACATAATACAAAGTTGAGATATCTAACAAGACAGTTTTTTTACTAACTTAATGTTGGTAGAATGCAGAACGTTTTGACTACCTGCTTTCAGTTCAAACAAATGGTGGTCAACAAGATCGATTGACTGGTCACTGGTCTATAATGGTTTATTTCTTCACACAATTGTAATTCATTTATTTCAAAGTTGTGCTAGTAAATATAATTCATATTTAGTAATAAATGGTTATCTACCAGTATATAACCACTTTCCCAATCGTTACATCAAATACTATTTCTGGAAAACAGCAACGCATTCTTTGAGGTTATAATGATTCAAAATGCAAACTATCTGAAGAATAAAAGTAGCTTTCGAAAAATTATTTTTCAGATCAAAAATCTTGTGTTTTAAATTTGTTCAGTTTGAAATTACCTGTTACCCATAAGTGAATATAGATATGGTTCACTGGCTTGAGGACGGGGCTCTTAAGTGATATGCACTTGGTTCAAATCCAATTCCACCTACTTCACCCTGAGCAACCGGTCAGCTTGGGAATATCAACGTAGGACCTGGCATTACTGCCTCGCACACCGGTTGAGAATATGCCAAGAAAAAGGATAAAGAAATAAATTAAAAGCAGTAAAAAGAGACCAAAGAAGACTGAGACAATGCTAAAATTGAGTATGGCGATTAAGATAAAGATAATGTATAGATACGTTTGGTCACCAAAATCGATTCTAGGCCATATCACCTAAACTTCCCAACCACTGGTTTCTATTGTCAGACCAACAGTCAAAGACTTCACGGACTGCGAAGGCAATAGTGGTTGAAAACCCAAGGCCACCTCATGTCCCTCACCCTTAATGATCATGTTTCACATGCATTTGGCAGGACAGTCGGGTGTCATGGGGGCATCCCAAAAGACATCATTTGGCGAAAGTCGAGCAAGTTTTTTTGTATCGGTGCGGAAATTTTCTCATCGACTGACTTATCATGATTGATCTGTCTTTCCGAGTAAGTGAAGTGGTCAACCCGTTCAACCACTTCACTCCACTAACATGGAAAAGTCCTGGAGCAGCAACTACATTTCGCTGTTGAGAAATGCAATCAGTTGGTTTCACAGGCCCTCACGCTATTAGGGCATCTAAACACCTGTATCACGTTCAGTTTCATTCGATTACATATGTGTGCGTATTTATAAAGTAACTGATGCGCAGCCAGTAGCATTTGCGTAGGTTTGCAAGATCACAAGTTTTTTGAGTATCTGTTTGAAGTTGCTTAGAACGGTAGAAATCACACCCTAACAGGCAAATATTACGTCATGTAAAATATGTATTGAGATCTCGATTATAGTTATGAATTACAGTTTTTTCGTGCATAATGGGTTTATAAGTAAATAACATTTGTTTTTTAGGTGTTTAGAGTTATTTAGGTATAACTTGAGCATTCTAGCTGAATATTATTCCATATTGATCTCTCTGTTAAATATGATATACAATCAGTATGATTTACTGCACCAATAAGTAGTAGGTAATACATGCTCAGTCCTTTCGTTGTGTGGCGCATTTAACAATCTTACCAAAACAATCTCTTCATGCTTATTCACGGTGGAAATCAGGACGCGTTAAAGAGGATCTATTTAAGTACTACTACTAACTTTAGCACTGAATTACACGAACTGTATAATTGATGCTTCCCGAAAATACAAATGGAAAAGACCATTGAGAAAAAGCACAAACCACTTTTAGAACTTTCTACTTACTATCTTCAGAGATTTAAGACGAAATCGCTCACCACAGCTGATGATTCTAACTTGACCAGTAGTGAAAACAAAAACATTCTATAAAACTATCGATGTTTTGTTTTTGATAAACTGATGACTGTCATGGGTTTTTTTATGTAATCTTGAAATTACTACACTTTCATTTTCATCCAGTGGCTCAAGAAGCTATGAATTTTGTCAATGCAGACTCGGATTATTTTCGTAATTCTGAATATGCATTAAGCTTGGATGTACGCAATTTGACATGCGAACCAGATATTGTTTTAAGTGATTATTTCCAAGTGCTAGAGAATGCGGTCAACAATCGTCTCATCGGTTCAATCGGTAAGTTCAGTTGAATTTTGCTTTCTTTTCATGATCGTTGTACATGATCAGTACATTTTATAAATTTTGGCGGGTAGTACAAAGAAAGACGTTTACCTGAAGGCTATGAGGTGCATTAGTCCATTACATTATGACTTTTTTTTGCTTCGTACGCCTCTCACTGACGGCATAAATTTAAATACCTTATTGAAAATAATTATCAATTACGTGATAAAATTCTGTAATAAATTGACTTTTCGTCTGACTCACAGAATCTAAACGCCTTAGCATCTGTAATATTGTCCAGATTTTTAAATATGCCAATGGATTTAATTAAACTTCCTGAAGTAGTGTTTAAAAGCTGAAGGATTTAATGAATACTGAGGTAGAAAGAAAACCTGTGACAGCTACAGTGTCATCTGACTCACTATTGGATTTCAACCACTACATGTATATAACTGCTGTCAACCAGATTTCTAAAGTAATTTAATTGACCATGAATCAATCACCTTCCTCTTTAATTCAACTCGTTAGAGATAAAAAGATGTTGCTCAGTGGATATTGGGACGGTAAAGTATTGAATCATCAGCAACCACAAGTCGACAATTATTTCACGGGTCACTCAGTTCTCCGTAGATGAACGCTGAATATTGTGAGGTTAACTATGAGCACTTCCAAAAGTGACGGTTTTTCCACCCGGTGGTTGAGGACTCTTGGTGACATGTCTAGAAATCGGTTACAGTGGCACAGATGTATTTACTCCTTATCATCTCCTAAAGCTTGAATATTTGTACCAACCGTTGTCTTCGAATTGTCTATTCTCTGACACAATTTTGTTTACCTTGATGTGACTTTTTCTGTCCACCTGTTCTTTGTATACTACTGTGAAGTGTGGCAACTTAAACCGATGCACTTGTTTGCGAAGTTCTACGTTGATTCTGTCTGTCTGTCCACAGCAAGCATCTTGAGTGGCAGACAGCAATCAGATATATTGTAATTCTCTTTGTTCCATAGTCGACTATCAGCTTAAAACACATTTAAGACATCAAGTAATTAGCTCTCTGCTGTAAGCTGTTTTTATTGTAATATTATGACTGTTACTCGATTTCATGCGATCGTGGATTGAATAGGGAAGCGAGTATTCGATAAAACGTTCAAACTCGATGGCATAACTACTTGCATTGCATTGTCATGCACTTTAAACAGATGGCACTGCAAAACATTTAGCTGAATACATTCACTCACTTTTTGATTTCCCCACACTTATGATTGTTGCAAGTACCAGAAATCGAGTTTATGTTGTGTAACGGGTAGATAGAAAATTCCCGTTTTGTAGTAGTTGTTACAAAGTAATGGAAGCACAATTTTGTTTGTAACCGCTCCACACTTGCATGTCATACAATGAACTCAATTTACTGGGAATGTCAGCAGGCGTGCAGAACTGACCATATCAAACAGACCAAACAATCCTGAGATAATCAAAACACGGTCTAAGTTTTATGGCTCAATAGTGTGTATGAATGGTTTAATGAAATTCAGTGTTGCGCGTTCTGATTGCACTGCACACAGTCTCATACAGTCACAGAATACGTTTAGTTAATGACCTAGTAAAAATGACACTGTGTACTTCTCTTAGTATGTTCCTTTCAGTAAACTAACATGCGTTGATTAAAATGTATTTGTGTGCTAATTATAACAATACGGCTCAGCTGCAGTACACAAGTTTTTATGCTAGGCTTTAAGCTACATACTGTATACACTACAAACCAACAGTTTTGTTTACACTGTGGTAATTTTTATTAGAATCAATAATGCCGTACGTCATACGATCGTGGATTGAGTAGGGAAGCGAGTATTCGATATATATATATATATATATATATATATATATATATATATATATATATATATATATATATATATATATCACAGCATACTGGTGTACGATACATTGATTGGTCACTGGAGAGTAACCAATTTCATGTTGCCTAGTCCTGAGTGCTAACCGAATTCTATCTATGATTCTGCAATGTGGCCAGCAAACTAGCAGACTCACCATCGTGGTGCACTTCGACAGATGTTGGTTGGAGACAATCGACAGGAAACTTCGGACCTAGGTTTGGGGCTCGTTAGCACTTGTCATCAAGGAGTATCTACAACCTCGAAAGGATATCACTAGTTTTTTTAGTCTTACGCAATAATAAAAATAACAGTTAGTTTGGTTCTTAATTCACAAACTTTACATAAATCAGTCGTTTTGGAAATCCTTTTTTCTCTGTAATCTCTGTGTGTTCAGCAGGGTGACTCGATCATTGTGTTTTTAGAAATTAGCTAATTAACCATGGTTCACTATTCTAAAGTATGTAATTGAGTTTCTATTTTACTGTTTCATTTCTTTGTTGTTTATATCCATATTCGTAGTAGTTTATGTAATCCACTGTTTGTGAATTTTCATTGATCTTTATTTTTTACAGCTGCTCTATGCTCAGATTCAATAGAAGCTGTGGTTGAATTGGCAAATATCCGAAAACAGATCATTGTTAGCCCAACTGTAGGTAGTGCACGTTTTCTTGAGCAACAACAATACCATTATTTTTTCCGTACGGTACCGTCAATGACTCTAGCTAAGTAAGGGAATGCTACTTCTTTGAAATTGCTTTTAAAATATGCTGTTCAATTTCTGTCTTACACTTAACAGTCGATCACTCAAATTCTTATTTATTACCTTTTAGCCGAATAATAATGTTAAGTATCACTACTGACAGAGTGACCACATATGCAGTAACTAAAAAGGTAGTCTGAAGATACATTTTCTTAAAAATGTCTGCATTCACATCGTCCATTTAGAATTTTTGTTTCTGACTACGTTTAATTGTGAAGTTGTAATAGGCACAGACTGGAATTGTAACCAAACGAATGCTGAATTAGGAAAGCTGAACTTGAACCTATCGGTAAGGTATCCTGGAAGTATCTATGTATCCGATATCAGTGAACTGAAAATGATGATCGTCTGTTGCATTTTGTTCTGACAATCACTTGTTTCTCGTCAACACTAACTGAGCATACGGAGCGAAACTGTCTCACATGGGGCCCAGCGACATCAAACCAGCGATTAACACAGACAAACCATATTGCTATGAGCCATTGTTGGCGAGGATTGGTGAATGATTGCTGCTGTTTCTGGAGCATATCTTTTGACTCAAATCAAGCTTTAGTATGGACAAGTGTATGTCTGCGCATTTCTGGTCTCAGGAAACATGATAGTAAACTCCGTCTCTGCTCGATTGGAAGATGAGAATGTCAAGTACGTACTTAGGGAGGAGGTAACGGAGTATTTATCTGGACGTGACAACAATCTTCATCATAAGGGAACCTGGTGTTATATTAGGTCTGCTGTAGAAACAGCGGTAAAGATAGTTGATGACCTACACTCGATATCCACTGTCACCGTTCCTGTTTAATTTCACCATATATATATATATATATATATATATATATATATATATATATATATATATATATATATATATATATATATATATATATATATATGTACTAGTGGATACAACCTTAAGTACCTCTGACTTCACAGCGATTCATCTACTCCGTGAAGGGCATCTGATTGACTTGCAGTATGCAGATGAAATTGTCTTGCTAGGTGGGGTGTAACAAAATGCATGATCTAAAATGTTGAACATAAATTCGTGTATGTTTGGCATGTTTTTCGCAACTATCGAATGTCGGATGATGCTTCATGACTGATGTACAGCTACTTCCAATTTGATGATAGGGTGTGAAGTACAATGCATCGACTACTTCACTTATCAGCCCGCATCATCTCTGCTCTCGCTGGCTTGAAATGTGACTACCTATTAAATGAGTATACTGCGCTACATATGATGGAATCACTGAGTGAGCACTGTAGAGGTCAGGGGAAGGGTACCAGGCAAATTTATGAATAAGACTGTACAGATTTGTACAGGAGAATTAGCTGTATTAAAATGCTAACATAAATGGGATATCCTGAAATTATGACTGGTTTAGCTGCTAATTTAGTTTTTTAAGTCACTCCATAAACTCTGATGTTTCGGTTATATGTTATAGAATTACAACTGTTTTCTTACAAACATTTTATTCGAAATCTATTAACTAATGCTCACCAGTGCTCAGTGATTTAGGTATTCGACTCTCAGATAGTGGTTCATATGTTGTAGTTCTATCCATCTCCTGGGATTCAGAAGACGGATTACTATCATTTCCCTTGTTAACATGTGTTCTAGTGCCTAGTCCACATAACCTGTGCTTGGTTTTTGTGTTTAATTTATAAACTATCGGATGATAATGATTGGAATCTACAGAATAATCTCAGGATTCAAATCACTTGTTTTTGATACTGACCCGCTGCTCTGTCGATTGAGCAGGTCGATGTAACAATTGATGTGATCTGGATTTCGCTTCAACCATTGTGTATTTTCCCAAGCCACCGATGTCCTGACGTTGATAGTTAAATTCCTACTCCTGCTCAGATTTTATGCCTGTTTCATTTTTCATACCGAATAGATATAAGCCATCTTGACAATGAAGGCTATCACTAGTGATTTAATTGACTATCGTTTCTGAGAAAAAAATAATGAGTGGCCACTTTGTTGTAGTGATTAAATTACAAACTTGATCAGTAAACGTTTAATGAATATTGTGGAGTGGATAGCACAGTACTAATTATTAATCGTCTGTAACTACTTTATGTGGCTTCAGCCATCTGATTTTGTCATATGAACACGATTTCACTTGTCCTAGAGTGATAAACAGTTTTCTGACTAACATTGGTGTTTACGTTTCATTCCTATGGTTTTAGTCAACTTGTATAGACAGCGATAATACTTTGAAGTATTTTGTGTTGCGTTTTATCATAGTTCACTGTGTCCATCGTAACTGTTCTCTTTTTGTTTCCAGTTTCATATTGCTTCGATTATTCTTGATATGGGGTTGGCATCGAATCGTTGTGTTTCGTAAATCGGATCATTTTTTCGAACCTTTACTTTTTCAAGCAAAAGGAATCGAAATTATAGCTAATATTGAGATGGACGAACAGCAGTTAACTTACAAATTGGCAAAAGATGTACGTATCTTTTTGTCATTCGGTGTACAGTGCAGTTATTGTTCACTTTTTGTGATTGCCTTCTGGTTTGTTTCATAGTCATTTTCCTGATTACTTTTGATAACAGTTTTAACGACTGGAAGTGTTCACAAAATTCAGCTTTTATGAAAACTGGTGATTCAAAAAGAAATAAGCGATTTGAAAATGATTTGTTGAATGCTAAAGGAAAATTATGTAACTAGTTTGCCTGGTGTTATACATCTCAAAAAATTCATTTCAGTTCGAGAATGAACAGTTAGACTGGTGAGGCACAGGGTTAGGTTATGAGGGAAGAAAACATTATTGGGTATGAGGAGGTGAAAAGAAAGTCTACCGTAAGTCTAATGACTGAAAAAACTTTTTTAAACAGCAGAGTCCAGGTAATAAAATATTAAACTAACTGGCTTCATCAGTTTAGCAAAGTTTTATTCTCAGAGCTTCCATAAGATTCCCACACGCTATGAATGATACTGAGGTTACAGTGTACGTTCACCTGGTATCCAGAAACAATAAAATGCTCTAAAATTGAACTGCGAGAGGATCTTCTCCTTTGTAAAACTAAGATGGCATATGTTCGACGATAACTTTAGAAAGCAGACGATTAGTATGATTGACACCTTGCTCCACAGAAACACTTGAATTAATAGATACACATTATAGAAACCAACAGCGCTAGCCTATCCTTTACTCACAATCGAATCATTGGTTGGATGGAGAGAGTGAATCGAAGTTAAGCACCGAAAAAGCTTCCCTCAATGAACAGGGTAAGCGATTTCTTAATATTTCCACCAATGAGTCTCCATTAAAGTCTAACTTCCTATCGGGGAGCTTTTTAGGAACCACATGTGTATTTGTTTTGGCTAGTCTCGACCTCATGGTTTTCATAGTGCAGCGTTCTAGATAACTGTTTCCAATCAAAGCAATTTCAAGGCTATATGGCTCTTCTCTTCTGGTGTTGGGGCTAGGCATGTTACGGATGCTGTGATCCAGAGAACTGATCAGATTCCGTTTTGCGGCTAGAGGCACTCAACTGTAGTAGTTCTTGAGCTGCCTTTTCTAGTTATGTTTCTGTGTTCTGTTATTGTCTTGTTAGTAGTACATTTAAAAAGGAATTGGATTCCTTCTGTAGTGTGTGAAGAAACGTAAAATATCTAAACTATCGGTATCCTTAAATGTATGGTAAAGGTGTTATTCACCTATTTTTTGTTTGTTTGTAAAATTGGGAATGGTTGGTCATTTCACTGAAATATATGTCCTCAAGCTTCATCGTAAAGAAGTTTTCAAACAGATAGTCTAGTGGTTAATCCATAGCTATTTCAACCTGACTAGTTGTACTATCCAGAAAGGATGTAAAGTGATAAATACAAAAATGGCATTTGATCTGTTACTGTCAAGCTGTATTCACTGTGTGAGGCTTGATTGAGATATTTAGCATTCTGTGGTGAAGTAATCACCAGCATCTTACTATTTAAGTTGCCGAATATCATTTGCACTACTATAAACTCCACTTGTTGTTTCTTTCGTCTTTTCTTTTGAGTTAGTGAACCACACATTGTAACCGCGTCAACAATACCTCCTACATGTGAAATTTAAAGAGTTGACGATAATGTGAACTCATCTTTAGCGTTGCTATGACCTCATATTATAAGGGCATCGACGGTGTGACTACGCAAGGGTTGTATTTATGCATAGCACCAGTTGACTTGATACACAAACGTTTCGTGGGTACATCCATGAGAGTTAATACATAAATACTACTACTGGAAAGTTTTGGTCTTGTTCTAGGTGGGGTATGTCTTCAAAGTTATAGTGAATGAGAACAACTTAACATCAGTCATGCACTGTTAAGAGACTATCACTCTCGTTCTAAAGGGGCCTGGTTGTGAATGCTGTGAAGACAAACTAGCACAACGCAGTGAGTAGTAGAAGCAAGCAAAGTAAGTTTACTGCCGTTAGCCCATAAATATGGTTTATTCCAACTGTTCATTTTGTAGATTTTATGTGTTGTTAAGATCTATATACTACATTTAATAAAACTAAGAAACTTCGTCCACTTTATTTCCTCGACAAATCTAAACAGTAGAACTAAAACACCATTTAAAATAAGGCGTTGTCATTTTAGATACCCACTAATGTTTATTCAGAAATGCCGCCAGTGTAAACGTGAAGAGAGGCAGTATAGTTATCGAGAAGGTTAAGTCTATTTCGCTGAAACGCCTTCAAGAGAAACGATGTTTCTGAGAGAATCAGTAGAATGATTGTTTATAGTGACCTGGTCAAAAGCTAGGTTAGCGCTCAGTCTAGCGAACTACGCACTACATCGAATAGCCCAAAGTAGACAGCTGTCGGAATCTTATTACCTCCAACTATATCCACCGATTCATTTGTATCTGCGAAAGCAGGCACATCTGTAAAACGGAAACTGATTCCCACTAGTATCTCAGAGAATGTTCCAAATTCTCTACAACTCATGAATCCAGCGAAGTTCAACATGCCTTCGTCTAGCCGATTCAAGTTATCAACGCCTTTCGAATCTTGATTTTGTCCCTGAATCTTGAACGGAAAAAGAATACCATTCCTGCTGTGGTTTGCGGAAGCCTTTATTATCAGAGTGAAGTAGTGATTTTTTTGGCCTAGGGACTCGACTTCCAGCTGATAGGTCACGGTTTTGAATCCCACTCCGCACACCTTGGTCTCGGCAGCCAGATAGTATCACTAACCCGGACACAATAAAAGTGGCTCATTGCCTACTGTACGAACGTGCATATTGTTGAGGAGTGCGTTTCAATTCGATCAAACTGTTACCAGAAGAATCCAACCCGACTTTTGTATTCTTTTGCCCTGGTAGTTTTTCAAAACTAGTTCCTATCTTGCTAATAAGTTACCGTCTCTTTCTACCACTCATCTTTTAGCTGACTGGATTGTTATATACTATTGATTTACTCTTTATTGTAGTTTGAAGTTTATTGGGATTTTATTTTCAAGGTAGTATTCATCACCGACTGACATCAGTTGGAGAACCACTGAAAACCTGATAACACGGGCCAGCTGTTTCGTCCTTATATGGGACTTCCTAGTAGTACGCACCCATAACTCCTCCTGGGGTTGAACCCAGGACCTTCGGGTCTCGCGGTGAATGCGTTAAGTAATTGGACACTGGTTTGGAGTTCAGTAGCTCCCTTTTAAACTGTCGGTTCAAGATATAACGCAACTATCCACTAAGACGTTCCTCTCCCTCACCCACTCAGATTGTTGACCTCTAGAATTCCACGCTGTTTTGCATTCATTTCCGCGCTCTTACTGTTTTCTGACCTACTCTGGAATATTTGTTATCCTTGGTTGTAAAAAGAAAGTAACTTCAATTTCGATATAATGTCATATCCTTCTTATTTCCTACATTCTGTACATCTATGGTTGGATATCTAAATGTTGAAATGAGTGCACTGAGACACATTAGATTTAGAATATGTTTAATTTATCCTTCTATTAATTTATTACGATTTTCTTTATGGAGTTGTATACAGCTGGAGAGAATGTATGCAACAAATTAACTTCAATTCTGCAGCTGACTTATGGGTTCCGATATTCTTAAGTGAAAAAAGATTTAAGTCTGACAGTCCTGAGTGTCCACACAGCTTAGAAAAGTACAGAATTCGCTAAAACTGCATTAAATTAGAATCTGTTCATGAAACTTGGCGACAGTTAAGTATACGAATTCCTACATACACCTTTACATGATGTTCCAAATCTGCTTTCGAATTGTGTTTGAATAACTTCTCGTAATAGTCCTTTTCATAACTTTTCATCCATTAGCAATATTTACACGTTGAAACCTATTTCCAGAATCTCAACGTTTTCTATTTCTTATTATCCCACGTCATGTAGATTTGGTTGCAACATACTTATCCTTTTGTTTTCTTTGTAGACTTTGGAAGAACTCAAGCAACAAAATAGCCGTATATTTGTTGTTGAGTATGATGCACGTGGTACCTACCTGATACTTTGTGCGGCTTATCATGAAGGCATGCACTTCTCCGCTGGCTATGTTTGGTTTCTGAATCCGTGGCTTTCTGATCAGTGGTGGTCTGGATTGGTTGATCGTAATTCCGAATGCACTTTTAGTGAGATGCTCAACATTACCTCTTGGACGTTTACTGTTGGACATCAGCTATTAATTGGTCCTATGGTTCACAGTTTCATCCCACGTACCAGTGAGTTTATGGACTCAGATTCTAAATCTGGAAATAAATCTGGTGCTGGAAATCGGACGTCTGTATCTGAACAACTTCAACGTAGACGTCGCCATGTTACTGTTCAGACACAAGCTGTGGGAGAATTACCGGTCTTATCTAGAACTAAACATCACCTTAAACTAAACGACATTGGGAATCTACATTCAGTGATCATTCCAAACGCAAATTGGTTAAAGATCCTTTACACGATTATACAGTGTACACATATGATGCTGTGATATTACTAGCCAGTGCTGTTGTTCACCTTTTGAGAGAAAATCCTGCTGCTGCATCTGCTCTCAATAATCCAGATGTATCTGAAACTCTTCGTTCTCTTGTCGCTCGAACAAATTTCGTTATCGATTTCAAACTGGTGACTCTACAACAGGTCAGTCGAACGAAGTTGATGGACTTGTTGCTGGCATCAATGATGATAATTTTGGTGTAGATGCTGGATTTCAATTAGCTGGTGATTATTATGGTATTCGTAGTCAAAGTCCTGCATCAGCATCCAATTTACGTTTTAATGATCATAATGAACGAATCGCTGATTACTGGCTGTTTGAAACAAAGACATTTCAACACTACCGTACCGATTATTATGTGGTCAACTAAAAGTTATGAAGAAATTCAAGAACAAGACCAACAGCAACATCAATCTTATGATCCGTTCAACCAAATGCTGTCATCGAATAATATATCAAATAAATATGATTGGAAAATGAATAATGCTCCATTTCTTTATGATGAGTTTCAAAAGCGAATGACTGAACGTTGGTTAGATCACGTTAACTGGCATACTTTAGGTGGTCCACCGAACGATGGTTCTATTAATGAAGAAAACTGCACTTTGTCATTTCTTAGTAATCAACTACGTATGGGTTGTACCGGTGCCACTGTGTTTGTTACTGTCACTGTTACTGTCGTAGTTCTTTTCCCCTAATTTTGTTTGCCCATTTTTATTATCGACGCAAATTAAAAGAGATTGAAAAGCGATAAGAAACCCTTCGAAGAACTATGCGCTGAATTAGCTGAACTGGATGTAAGTTGTCAATCGTTTGTTTTTCTTTAGCTTTTTTAAAGTTTCTATCTAATTCCTTATCTTGCTGTAAAAAACGTTTCGATGATAATATGACTATGTTTACCATCACAGTCGTAAAAGAAAAGGCAATGAATCGCATCTGTTGTGTGAGTACTAATGATACCAACTGACTGCTCAATTTTCGCTAGCTGTAGTAGACTTCAAACCAATAACCGTTTGGTTAAGAGTTGAGTGCCTAAACCGACGAGCTACAGTTCCACTTAACAGCACAGTAACCAGTGATCGTATCTTCGGAGTTTGCGAATAAAATTTTCTCAACTGTCATCAGAATATTTTGTATTCTCGTTGGACAAAAGACTGATCGCGTGAATGGCATGTGAAATATTTTTATTACTAGAAAAAAAATGTACCCAGAAAATGTTTTCAGGCTTCCTTATGTCATAGCGATTAACTATAATTAATCGTCGTTTAGTTAGCTGTAATAACAGCTTTGAGCGACTTAACTCCACACGTGTTAGTAGTGAGTATCATTCAATACCCCCAATGTAACAGCCTAAACATAATCGTCCTGGGGAATTTAAACTTTATGTAGAGTTGTGAATTAAGAACCAAACTAACTGTTATTTTTATTATTGCGTAAGACTAAAAAAACTAGTGATATCCTTTCGAGGTTGTAGATACTCCATGATGACAAGTGCTAACGAGCCCCAAACCTAGGTCCGAAATTTCCTGTCGATTGTCTCCAACCAACATCTGTCGAAGTGCACCACGATGGTGAGTCTGCTAGTTTGCTGGCCACATTGCAGAATCATAGATAGAATTCGGTTAGCACTCAGGACTAGGCAACATGAAATTGGTTACTCTCCAGTGACCAATCAATGTATCGTACACCAGTATGCTGTGATATATATATATAATGAATTTTCGTCTTTGATTCAGATGATTGGATCTTTATATGTTCGGTGAACAATTACAGAAACTTATTCACTCAAAATATATTGTTTCAAGTCATATTACTGTCTTCACTCGTGAACTTTTATTTTAATGTTCTTAATCCCTTTAACGTTTACCTGATAGATGCCTGCTGAAAACATTGTTCTGAATCGTCGGGTAGGTCAAGGCGCATTCGGCTTGGTGTTCGGCGGTGAAGCTAAGAAAAATGACTTGTGGGAAGCAGTCGCTGTAAAGGTGATCAACGAAAAAGCAACCTACGAAGGCAAAATTGATTTTCTTTCTGAAGCAAAATTGATGCGTTCCTTGAATCATCCGAATGTAGTTCGCTTAATTGGTATTTCCTTGAATCCAAAAGCAATTTGTACTTGATCATGGAATTGATGCTACTCGGGGACCTAAAGACATATTTATTATCCGTAGAATTTTAGCTCAAAGGTAAATAAACATAATTTTATTAGAAATTCGTTGTTTCTAAGTACAATGTTGCTCTCTCTAAATTTTAATTTTATTTGTCCCTTAGATTCCTCGTGGAACATAGACCTTCAGTTGCACATATCCATTGCACTCTCTTCTCTACAGCCTTTCGAACCTGACTCCACGACTGCCTACAAGCTTTAATTTCTGCCTCACATGATCTCCTTCGAATTTGGGGTTGAGTTGAGTTGACTGCCATTCTATGGTGTGTTCTATGATGATGCATAGGGTAGCGTAGCGTAGCGTTTCAATTTGATCCGCACACGATTTTTTTTCCGTGAAACCAGCCAGCCTTTTTTGGTGGTAATTTTGAATCCAGAGCATACTTTATTCTCTCCAGGATGGTGCAGCTTGATATTTTGCTTTGGTGGGTGGGGACAGGAGCATGATTTCGCGCCAGTTCCTGCAAAGACTTAGGTCGTCGTTCTTTGGATGTTTGACAAGGTGGCACTTCTTCCAGTCTGCAGGTACCTTTCCTTCCTTCTTTGCAAGCCTTCTTCAGTAGTGGTGTGAGCGTGTCCTCTGTTTTCTCTGCGTCTGTTTTCAGTGTTTCTGGAGGACTTCCATGTGGTCCTGCTGCTCTGTCGGATTTCAGTAACTTTATGGTTTTCAGGACTTCACTTCTCCTTTCTTTTGAGGTCTTGTGTTCACTGATAGTTCTGTGGCTGAGTTGGTGGTGGTGGTGGTCGATTCGAGAGTTTTTTGAAGTGATCAGTCCATCGTTTCCTTTGCTCTCCTCGTTGGTGGTAACTAGGTTTCCTTCACTATCTTTCATTGGTTTCATCTGAGTTGATCTCTTCCTAGATAGTAATTTGGTTATTTGGTATGATGTTGTCGGGTCTCTCTCTGTCTCTCCTACCAGCAGCCTATTCCGCTCCACTTGCCAGTGTGTCGTAGAAGTGTCTTTTGTCTTTGCGTGCACTCCTCTTGACTTCTTTGTCCAGTGTAATGTTTTACATGTTGTGTTCAGTTCTTCTTTTCGTTGTTCATCTCTGTACTACACTGCACTGCACTGCACTACACTACACTACACTGGTTCATCTTCTGCTTCACCATCTTCCTCTCCCTCCTCTATGAGTTTCCATGTGTCCGTGGAGATTCATTTCTTGTCTTGCCTCTTCTTCCTTCCTAATATGGTTATGCAGGTTGCTTTCCACATGTTTTTCAAAGAGTTCCAGTATTTTTCCATGCATGTTTCTTCATGGATGTTGCCTAATATCTCCCATTATGTCTTGATGGTTGACGTGAAGATGTCCTTTGTAGTTTCGTCCTTCAGTTGAGTTGAGTTGAGGAGTTAAGTTTGTGTTTGGGTGTTGAACTTGAACTGTGGCCTATCATCACCATCTTCTTTGAAGGCTTCCGACTTGATTTTGAAGGTATGTTCCTTACACTACATGTGCTCCCCTTCTTGATGTGATCTTGTGTCCAGTGAGGTGTGTCTCCACTTTCTTCACATTGAGATGAAGTCGATTTGATTTTTAGTGTAGTGTGTTCTGGTGTCTGGTGTTATGCATGTGGCTTTGTGAGTATCGTTGTGTTTGTACACACTGGCTCCGATCACCAAATCGTTGAATGTGCAGAAGTCTGCAAACAGTTCTCCATTGTCGTTCATTTCACCTAGTTAGTGATTCTCTACCCATGATTGGTTGTCTTCGTGTGTTGTCCTGTCCACTCCGAGTTTGGCATTCATTCATATCACTGCACCCATTAGAATTTTGATTTCGCCAACTGGAGTCTTGTCTAGTACAGTACTGATTGGAGTTGTTTGTAGAGTTCCTCCTTCTTCTCTTGATCTGCATTATTTGTAGGTGCGTAGCGTGGCGTAGCGTAGCATTGTATGACTGTGACTTTCCTTCTTTTTGATTTGAATCTTGCTGTGATGATCCTGATCGTGGAGGAGGAGATTGGTTCCCATTGCATGAGAGAGAGCCTTTGATGCTGTTGGGGGCATGATGATAGCCAGTCTGTAACTCAGTGTGCTCGTGGTTGTCGTCTGGATGATAATATTGGAGTAGATAATTGACTCGTGTGCAGTCGACATTTTGGAGAGTCGACTTCCATTGTGTCTGCTTTTGCAGATTTGTATCACTTCTATGGTGTATCTTCTCATTTATTTTGCAATCTGGGCAGCCTTGCCAGCCGGTCGGTCGGCCAGCCAGCCAGTCATCTTCAAGCATTGTGCGACCATTCTATGTCCCTATGTTTACTTTTGCTTTCATCGAGAGAAGAGAAGACTTATCGTTGAATTAGCTTTGTGAAGGTTTCCACGAACCGGCGTCGTTCTGTCTCCCTGATTTCTGCTAGGAATAAGTTTGTTTTTATTTTTGTATTTTGTTTGTGCTTTGGAGTTTGTTTAGGGATTGGATTGGTTTTTCGGGGTATGTTTGCTAACCGTATGTCCAACCTTCTCTCTTTATCGCAGCTTAGGTCCGGCTAGTAGGCTAAACGAGTTTATAGTTACAAGTTAGTGTAAGTTGTTCAGTCCGGCTTTTGAAGTAGTAGACTAGGCGGGGTCCGCTTCATATATTCACTGTGTGTGTGTATTGTCATAGTGATTAGTGTTTCATGTAAATCAAAAGACGGTATCAACATGAAACCTATGATTTCTGCGTAACAGCCCAGTTTGTTGCACTCAATATCAGCTCATCAAGAAGGAATGCTTGAACATGATAGAGGAAAAATTTCGGGAAAGAGAGCAAGAGGTAATAAGGCTCTGTTAAAGTTCAGTATAACGACTAAGATGAAGGTAATATGTTGACACATAAGCGCCACTGATACCAATTCTGTGTTATATTTCTTACTAACTCCAGCTACCAATTCCGATGGTCAGTGGATCCCAAACAAGATGTCTGCATTTTCGTACACAGATGAGACCACTGTCACGGACAATATGAACTCATTTCATGTTTTATAATGGTCACCTTTTACGTTTTTTGGCCTAGAATATACTTCAACTGACATTGTGTGACTGGCATGCCCAACGTGTATTCTAGCTAGTTCAGCCAACCAAGGCTTACAACTTCATAGATTGGCCTTGCTCTTCTGCCTGCCATTTTAACTTCCACCTTACAGTAATATTGACACCATGTGATGTGTTCTACACTACCAAGTCAATGTTGGTTGGATATCAGAGGCTTCCTGGTATACTACACCCTGAATGACCATGTTTCACAACCTCATAATAGAACAGGGTGAACTTCAGCGCACTAGACTCGCCTATTGATAGGCAGTTGGATATCACGACAGCGCCATATATGGCGTAAGTTAGCTAGAGTCCAGCAGGTTTTCTGTATCGGCGCCTAGATTTCGTTGATCACCAGCCTATTGGGACTGGTCTGTCTTACCAAGTGAGTGAAGTGGTCAACATGCTCGACCACTCCACTTCCTATTGTTAAACGAAACATCAAGGTCAAAAAGTCGTGGATTAGTGATTTGCACTGGGGTGGTGTGAAAAGTATCTGAAACACTTTGACACTGCCACTCAAGATGTACAGGAGACTGCATGTCGTTACCGTCTTCAGAGGATAGGACTATGTCATCTGGGTACTTTATATCTACTAAAAAGTCTCATGTGACGAAATCAAAAGAGGTTTTCTCTTCTTTCTTCAAGATCTGAACAGTCAGTGGTTGAGATCAGTCCAGGGACTCATCTTATTTCCGTACGCTAGCTAACACTTGAGTTAGCCTGACCGAACATCGACTACTTTCCTTACGCAACTCCAGTACTATCTCACCTGATCCCACTGCCTCTATTCGTATTGAGTTACCCACAGCATTCCCAACTTCGGCAAGTGTTGGAAGATCTATTTTAATGTTCCATTCAGGATCCGATTGACAGTGGAGAAATGGAATAGCACCCGAAGGCCATTTGAACTGTTCCATGAAATTTGTTCCGGCCATTTTTGCATTTTTTTCCTCTGGGACTGAGTCGCATACACAAAATTTCAATACTTGTACACTTTGTATTACCTGATCGAACATACAGGTGAACACAAAGTTTCTAAACTGATATAGTGGTATGTTGGTAGAATATCTAATTCAGTTGGACATATATCACTTTCGGCGATTCTTATTGCTATCAGACATTATTGTCACTAACTTTTACTGTTTGCGTTTTTTAAATATTTGAAAATATTGAAGGAACGCTTCTTCTAGAAAGTGGTAAATTTTCTGCTGTTTGGCAAGTATTTCTTTTTTCAGCGCATTGTCCATCAGGTGAAACATGTGACAATACTGTTACTCATGAATATTGACTCCCAGCACTTCCCCCCTTTGACTTTTTAAAAAGCTCAGTAATCTTTTTACTACATTATATTATCGCCTGAATATTATTTGTGTTGTCACTAGTAGTTGAATCCCTGAAGTACTATTGGAAGTGTTTGTTAACGCGTGAGAAGTTTGGTCCGTGCTCACCATCTGTTAGTAATGGGTGGTTTACTATGTATGCATTGGTTTTCGACGTTCTTTTTCGTTTAGTGGCAGTTAAATTCCTTATTTTCTAGTGCTTTTTTCTCATAACGTGAACATCTTTCGCTTATATCACCTTAAAAGCTCACCTTTTCATATACATATGCATAAAATAACTATATTAACAGTTTATTGAACGCGGATCGTCTCCACTCTTCAGGTTTTTGATTAGAGTAAATCTTTGCACAGTATATTTTTTGTCTGCTCAATTCTACATGTATTCAGTGTAATTGCTCATTACGTTTAATTTCGTGAAAACTGAAACAACACTTGAATTGTGTAGTGTATATCCAGGTGATGGAACAGAAAAAACAGGTTAATATACTTCTTATTCATTGTGTTGTTACTTCTTACAAATGTTAAATGTCACTCCTAACCACTATTGTATACTGTAGGGCTTTGTGTATAACTTTACACTATTGTATCTGTTGTTTTGATCTGTTCACCCATTTCTGTATTTATATCCACAGCTACTGATAGAGTTATCAAGGAGAGGATTTATCTTTCCATTACGTCAGTTAGATTATCCTCTAGATTACTGTTCACACTAAAGCAGAAAATAAAAACTTTCCTCAGTTAAAAGGGAAGCATACAAATAAAAAGGTACACTGCGATCGGTTTGTTCAGTACAAGATTCGCTTAAGCGAAGTATAGAATTCCCATCATACCAGATACCATGTAAACAAAAACAAAAGATGATGAATACAGTAAATATATAGTAATTAACTCAAAATATGGCAGAGATAAATAGCCATTTACTAATTTAATATAGAAATTATGTAACGCTTCATTCTCATATCTGATTCAGTTCAAGTGCTTTGTCTAAACATTCAGCTTTTTCTATCGGTGCGCTTCAAATTCCACTGCACTTACTTCGCCCTTGATGACTAAGTGGCATTATAAAACAATGTACATTAGGTCGCCTACAGAAAAATTTAGCAGGTAACCTAGTTCCATCGGATTGATCTGATGAAATTTAGTTAACTGCATACCTACTGGTGGCATATATTGCTCAGAGCAAACTCCTACGTTAAAAGCAAACATTTGAGTTTTCCACATCATATGTTTAGCATGTAACCTTAATTTATGACACTATATTCGACAAACTGTTCATCTCTTGAGTCTATTTCTTCCAATCTATTATCAATACGGACGCGAGTGAACGATCCTAATGTGCAACGTAAATACCGTCTTTAATACTATAAAACTCTCGACGATTTGGTTTTTAGTGTACAAAAAATGTTACTATTGGAATTAATTAGCCAGATGCTGAGAATCTTTTTGTCAGCCTAATAGTCGAGTAAACGGATTCAGTAATCTACTTTCTATGTATCACATCTGTTTACTGTGTCAGATGCATTTCATTCTAGTTTTTGTATTCCTCAATCTTTTTTTTTGCAAGGTCACCAAATCATGAAGACATACGACCACCAACGCTTACCAAAATGAGTATGGATATTGGTCAAGGTGTAGCATATCTTCACAGTAAACATTTAATTCATCGAGATATAGCGTGTCGAAATTGTCTTGTTGGTGCTGATCGCACTGTGAAGATTGGCGATTTCGGTTTGACTAGGCAAGCGGCTAAAAATACATCTGAAGTTTATTATCGTTTTACACGGAATTGTAAGTTGATGTTGATTTCACTTGTGTTTCTTTTGATATATCACTAGTTTTTATGCAGATATAGTTTTCATGTCTCCTAAGCAGCTCCTGTTTCACGTGTTATATAGGTTTTACTGGTTGTTGTACTGCTTTCTTTTCACTTCAATAATAATCATCTCTAAATTATTGAATAGATGATCCTTTTGCATGAGAATTTAATGTAATGCGAATCAACTCGGTGCATTTTTACGAACTAGGTTATGAGTCACACTTATTTCTTAAAGCGAATGTTATCATTGGCACACCCATACCGAAGTAGGTGAAGTTGGGTTGAAAGCAGGGTTCTGTTGCTCGTAACTCAAGAGTGAAAATCAGCAAGCCACATCTCCCACGCACATGGGAATCCACAAAAATTCCCTGGTTAGTACAAGTTGCTACTATTGCGAAAAAAATCTGTCACCCTACACTTTAGCATTAAAAGGGATGATGAATTACTAAATAAATCCGCCGCCTCCAAAGCTTGTGCTGTATAGAGCGAACTGTTTGCTAAGATAGTCGAAAATTGACAAGGTCACCTACTACGTTTCATCCAAGTGTGTCTATCAGTTCAAATGTACTTGTCTGTACATAATCGGGAAAACCTGTGACCAAAAGATGCAAAAATCTTTAGCATTTTAATTGCTCATCACTTGTTCCATATTGAACATTCTTTCGAAATTCCTTTAAAGTAATTAACAAACAGATCTGTGACACTATCAGCTTTCTGTTCTATACTCCTTAACTCTTTTCAATTTGCCTGTTGGTGGCTAAAATGAAAGGTGCACGTTTTTACAGTTACCTTATTATCAGTAATTGTTAATCATGACAGGAATGTGTCAACCATTTGCACTAGTCAGTAGGCAGTGTTTATGAAGACAGTCTTGTCACCGACCTTTTTGAAGTATTTCAAGTTTGTTTATATCCAGATGAAATTGTATATACGTTTTGCTCGAGTGCAGTTTAAAATTATTGGATGATAGTTGGTAATAATACCATTAAGGTTTATTAACTTTTGACCTTCAATTTATTTCTTAGAAATGATTTTATGTCCTCAGATTCATGCTAAACTTCAATTCACAATCCCTACATGTTTTGTATGTTTTTTTCCAGAAATTATCGAATAATCCATAATATCTTATTATTCAGAATAATTACTAATGTTCTGTATTGAAATATAATCTCTAGCAGAGCAAACAATAGTCGCCTAATTCTACGATACTTGACTCATATTCTTAATGTAATAGCAGTTTTCTTTTCCGTTTACTGTTGATTTTATTTTAGGTGAACTTCCGATTCGTTGGATGTCACCTGAAGCGGTTCAATTCGGTGTATTTAGCATTCAGTCTGATATTTGGTCGTTTGGTATAACCTTGTATGAAATCATAACCTTTGGTGTATTCCCTTATAATGGTCTAGGAGATGTTGAAGTTGTTGAACGTGTTAAACGTATGGAATTCAGTATAACTGAATTTTTACCTCCTCAAGCAGTGAATACCGTAGTGTATGTACAGTTTACTAGTTTTATTAATTAATTTTTTATTTGAATTTGATACTATTTCAGTGAGTATTTTCATGTATCTGGCTGTAGTTGATTTTCAAAATAGGTGTATAGAAAATGAGTTTGTTTTTCAAAATATGCGAATTCATTTCTTGTTTTCTTATCCGATTACTGATGATACTGAAGAGTTTTGACTTTTGTTCGGAATATCTACTTTTTTTAAACGGAAGTCATTGTTTTGATTCTAAGTTATTATTAGCTAGAATATGATGCGTGGAAAATACTCCTGGATTTCCTACACTCTAGTAGACGTAACTTTTCAGTCAATTTGATTAACATTTGTAGCATTGTGTTCAAGTAGCAAACTAGCAACTCTACATTGTTTAACACCAACTTTATGGTTACATACACGGGATTTATTTCTGAAATTAAAAGATAGTCTACGTTAATCCATCTAAGTGGTTTGTGAGTAAATCAATCAAGATCTCCATCTCATTTATGTTTTAATAGTTCATCCTTTTTACGAAATGAATATAAAACAAGAATAGTCAGTATATTATGCATGCAAAATTCATTGTGTGTATTACATGAAGTGCATTCGAGTGTTTTACTGAAACTGTTAATTTAAAGTTTTCATGGTTATCGAGTCCAATTTAAATCCAATTTTGTTTGCTTCTTTTTTGAAGATGTAAATTAATTAACCACTGCTGTAAACATCAATGGCAACATCGACCATCGTCAATGAATCAAGTTTTGGAAATATTGATGGCTTACCCGGATTGTATTCGGCCTTTTTTAACAGATGATCCTCCCAAACCGAATACAACAATGGATGCATTACCAGTATGTTAAACACTTTACTATACTCTTAAATGCTTTGCGTATGTTGAGTCATGTGACTCATTTGATTTGATCTAACCAGTAATTTTCTTAACGTACAATTCTGAGAGTTGGAGTAGGTAGATATCAGTTTCAGGTCGCCTAAACAAGGACATGGTTATTTATCATTTTTATTTGTCCCTTGGGCTCCTAGTGAAACATACGGCTTCAGTAGCACATCTCCATTTCACTCTGTCCTCTACAGTCCTTTGAACCTGGCTCCTCCATATCACCCTCGGATACCCAACTCGTCGTTTCCCATTTGGATTCCACTCGAGGGCCTGGCCTGGCGTGTGTTGTCCCCAGTCGGCCTTCTCAGTATATGCCCAATCCAGTCCATCACCACTTTCTTCCACTGCATATTTGTTGGACGATGAGTTCTTGGTTGGTTCGTTGACAGGTCAGATTTCCTTGTTGCTTATTCTCACTATTCTGGTCATCTGATCTTCAGTACCGAGTGAGTGTAGGCGGCAGCTGTTGATGAATGTCTGTAGTTTGTTGGAAATGCTTTCTCTTAACCATCGGATGGAAGCACTAACTTGACTGAATTAGTGTTGAAAATCCGGATCTTGTTCTTTATTGTGAGTTCTGTAGATCTCCACACTGCTTTCAGGTTAACGAAGACCTGTCTTGCTGCTTTTGCGATCCTGGCTTTGACATCCTCGTCTCTGTCACCTGTAGTTGAAACGATGCTGCTGCCTAGGAAGGTGAAAGAGGCTACTTCGTTTAGATTTCTCCCGTTGATGGTGATTAGTGCTTGTTGTTGTTGTTGTTGGTTGGGTGGTTGGGTATCTTCATCACCTGTGTCTTCTCTACGTCGACCTGAAGTCCCGTCTTCCTTCGCTGTCCTATCCTGCCCTACCCTACCCTACCCTACCCTGCCTCTTCTGTCAACTCGTTAGTTTTGTGTATAGATCTTGGAGTTTGTGTGACAAGAAATTAGACATAAATCATCATTGGCGAAATCCAAATCTTCTCCTGGGGTCTTTTCATCGGTCCATCCATCGTATGCCCATCCTCTCGCTCCTCACAGTTTGTTGGATGATCCAGTCGAGTCGAGTCGACCACAATCAGGAAGATCATGGGAGACGACAGTAAGCGTCAACCTTGTTTACTCCTGTCTGCTGTCTTCACTTCAGAGGCATCACTGAGCTTTCCATTGTGAATCACTTGGCATATAGCACATAGCTGTTGAATGAGGTTGATAAGAGTTTGTGGCAGTAAAACCGTAGTGTTGAAGTAGCTGCCTGTCAAATTACTCCTCAGTCGATGCTGTTGAAGGCCTTTTCAAAATCGATGAATTTGGGGTTGAGTTGAGTTGACTGCCATTCTATGGTGTGTTCTATGATGATGCATAGGGTAGCGTAGCGTAGCGTTTCAATTTGATCCGCACACGATTTTTTTTCCGTGAAACCAGCCAGCCTTTTTTGGTGGTAATTTTGAATCCAGAGCATACTTTATTCTCTCCAGGATGGTGCAGCTTGATATTTTGCTTTGGTGGGTGGGGACAGGAGCATGATTTCGCGCCAGTTCCTGCAAAGACTTAGGTCGTCGTTCTTTGGATGTTTGACAAGGTGGCACTTCTTCCAGTCTGCAGGTACCTTTCCTTCCTTCTTTGCAAGCCTTCTTCAGTAGTGGTGTGAGCGTGTCCTCTGTTTTCTCTGCGTCTGTTTTCAGTGTTTCTGGAGGACTTCCATGTGGTCCTGCTGCTCTGTCGGATTTCAGTAACTTTATGGTTTTCAGGACTTCACTTCTCCTTTCTTTTGAGGTCTTGTGTTCACTGATAGTTCTGTGGCTGAGTTGGTGGTGGTGGTGGTCGATTCGAGAGTTTTTTGAAGTGATCAGTCCATCGTTTCCTTTGTCTCTCCTCGTTGGTGGTAACTAGGTTTCCTTCACTATCTTTCATTGGTTTCATCTGAGTTGATCTCTTCCTAGATAGTAATTTGGTTATTTGGTATGATGTTGTCGGGTCTCTCTCTGTCTCTCCTACCAGCAGCCTATTCCGCTCCACTTGCCAGTGTGTCGTAGAAGTGTCTTTTGTCTTTGCGTGCACTCCTCTTGACTTCTTTGTCCAGTGTAATGTTTTACATGTTGTGTTCAGTTCTTCTTTTCGTTGTTCATCTCTGTACTACACTGCACTGCACTGCACTACACTACACTACACTGGTTCATCTTCTGCTTCACCATCTTCCTCTCCCTCCTCTATGAGTTTCCATGTGTCCGTGGAGATTCATTTCTTGTCTTGCCTCTTCTTCCTTCCTAATATGGTTATGCAGGTTGCTTTCCACATGTTTTTCAAAGAGTTCCAGTATTTTTCCATGCATGTTTCTTCATGGATGTTGCCTAATATCTCCCATTATGTCTTGATGGTTGACGTGAAGATGTCCTTTGTAGTTTCGTCCTTCAGTGAGTTGAGTTAAGTTTCTGTTCTGGGTGTTGAACTTGAACTGTGGCCTATCATCACCATCTTCTTTGAAGGCTTCCGACTTGATTTTGAAGGTATGTTCCTTACACTACATGTGCCCCCCTTCTTGATGTGATCTTGTGTCCAGTAAGGTGTGTCTCCACTTTCTTCACATTGAGATGAAGTCGATTTGATTTTTAGTGTAGTGTGTTCTGGTGTCTGGTGTTATGCATGTGGCTTTGTGAGTATCGTTGTGTTTGTACACACTGGCTCCGATCACCAAATCGTTGAATGTGCAGAAGTCTGCAAACAGTTCTCCATTGTCGTTCATTTCACCTAGTTAGTGATTCTCTACCCATGATTGGTTGTCTTCGTGTGTTGTCCTGTCCACTCCGAGTTTGGCATTCATTCATATCACTGCACCCATTAGAATTTTGATTTCGCCAACTGGAGTCTTGTCTAGTACAGTACTGATTGGAGTTGTTTGTAGAGTTCCTCCTTCTTCTCTTGATCTGCATTATTTGTAGGTGCGTAGCGTGGCGTAGCGTAGCATTGTATGACTGTGACTTTCCTTCTTTTTGATTTGAATCTTGCTGTGATGATCCTGATCGTGGAGGAGGAGATTGGTTCCCATTGCATGAGAGAGAGCCTTTGATGCTGTTGGGGGCATGATGATAGCCAGTCTGTAACTCAGTGTGCTCGTGGTTGTCGTCTGGATGATAATATTGGAGTAGATAATTGACTCGTGTGCAGTCGACATTTTGGAGAGTCGACTTCCATTGTGTCTGCTTTTGCAGATTTGTATCACTTCTATGGTGTATCTTCTCATTTGTTTTGCAATCTGGGCAGCCTTGCGAGCCAGCCAGTATCTTCAAGCATTGTGCGACCATTCTATGTCCCTATGTTTACTTTTGCTTTCATCGAGAGAAGAGAAGACTTATCGTTGAATTAGCTTTGTGAAGGTTTCCACGAACCGGCGTCGTTCTGTCTCCCTGATTTCTGCTAGGAATAAGTTTGTTTTTATTTTTGTATTTTGTTTGTGCTTTGGAGTTTGTTTAGGGATTGGATTGGTTTTTCGGGGTATGTTTGCTAACCGTATGTCCAACCTTCCCTCTTTATAGTTGCCTAGTACCTGCTAGTATCTAGTAGACTATTTAACGATGCCTGTTTGATCTACGGGGTACCGAATCACAAGAATCACACCGTGTGTTGTTTGGTTATTTATGTTCATCTCCTCAAGAGGGCTTAAATCGGTAGTTATAAACGTTTGGAAATGAGTATTAGGACCGAGGACATAAGTGAAATTGCGGTTTTGCCGTATCCCTTCCTGAGTCTTTGAAATATTAGTGGTTCTGTATCATATACCTTGTTTTAAGAAATGTCATACAGCCTATGTTGTAGGTATCGTTTTGGTTTGCTGCGTTGATTTCGTATTGCGTCGCGCAGGCGAGTTAATTCGCTTCAGGTCGTACTTTTTCATGACGGAATCTCATATTTGGTGATTGTAATGCTTGTCAGGTTCCCAGATCCGTATGATTTTCGTAATTTTTCAGGAATAAATAATGCTAAGTTCTGCTCATTATGAACTCGCTTTCATTTTTTCTAGTTCCAACCAACTGTAGGTACTTGTATAATATCAGAATCTGCAATGACTGGTCTGGCTGCAGTAGATAGTGTCGGTGGTGGTGGTTTTCGTACAATGCGCAGTGCTTCAGCTGCAGCTGTCCCAATATCTTCTTATACACCTTCACCGGTTCCGCTGAATCTTCCTGATGGCAGTAGTGATAAGTATTATGGTCGTGAAAAGCGTTTTAGTGAACAGACGAATCTTCACGATAGTGCAATATTCAATCACCAGTCAATTTTTGATTGGCCTGGAAACTGTCCGTCTCATCCATATGCAAACACTTCATCCAAAGCAAGAATGATTTCCTGTGAATCTTATCAACTTCCGTTATATTCTGAAAGACAATCAACGTTTCCTTTGCCTATGGATGTAAGTAAAGATCCCATATGCAAATCTGTCGAACCCTCCAATGTATTGGGATTTGAAGACCATACTGGATCGACTGCTACTTCTGATAACACTAATAATAATATGTCTCCCAATGTTCTATTCAACCTATCAACGAGTCCTGTTTCCACTACTAGTTATCAGTCGGCTGATGAAAATACTCATCTAATTGTTAGGTCTTCTGAATACACTGATCAGGTTGTCTATTCTTCTGGTACTACTTTAAACTGTCGTAAACAAAAACGTTCAAATGCATTTGTCATCAATACAAAGCCAGAAGATTCCGATGAATTGAATAGTCTACTATCCGATCATCAAATTCAGTAAGTTGAAATTTCCATGGATCATTTTATGTAACCTTGTATATACTTGATTGTAGAAAATAGGCCTTATAGAAATCATACAACAGTTCGATAGTTAGTGACTTCGATACACGGTGTGCATTCCATCGGGTTGATAGCTGCTACCTTGAAACGGTGGTCGGATTTGTATATCACAATGACCCAGTGAACTATTTTGATGGAACGCTTATTCCCTCGACGTCCTACCATGCCAGAAAGGTCCGTTGGACAGTGGTAAGACAAAAAACAGTCACCATTGTGTGAATTGCTGCGCTATTATGGGGGTCTGAAGGCGAAGTCGTACTGCTACTGATTGGATCTGACTGGAACAGGAGTGCCATCTCAAACCTGCTGTGACAGTAGAGTTAAGGACGGTAGCCGACTCTCAGAAAGTGGTTGGAAGGGTCTAGTGGATCTGAGCAGCTTCTGATTTCATGAATTTTCATGAAGGCATCACTGAAGACTCCGAACATAATGAGGAGGGAAGCAGCTCAAAAGCAGGCCGATAGGAAGTCTACCCAATGACGTCGAACTGTGGTGGTTGGTGAAGGGTCAAGAGATGGAAAAGGCAGTGGCAATAGGTAGCAGTAAACAATCATTTAAACTTATCAGGGAGACTGGAACAAAGAGGTCAGTGGTTAGTGAACATCGGCGATTCAAGTTCTTATGGTCATTGAGCGTCTTAGTAGACCTCTGGAACAGCAAACCCGTGAAAAGCAGACAGGCTTCAAACCTGGTCGTGAGTGCATTGACCAAAGGTTTTACTTCTGTACTTTTCTGGAACACAAACTTACTTACCGAGGTCCGACACTAGTTGTTTTTCTCGAACTGAGGTGGTATTCGACCCCATCAATTGAGATGTCTTATAGTGTCTCCCTTTGAAAGTAGAGCTGAGTAATACACTCGTTTGAAGACTCTACTTGAACACCCATGAGTGTGTCAAAGCCTATAATAAGTAATTGGATGAGTTGTGTGCATTAAGTAGTGTCTCTCAAGGATGTTCACTGTCTCCATTCTTATTCAACTTTATCACAGGCATACTAATAGAGGTCTTCCTCTTTCCCTCTGAGTTTAAAGGGATCGATCTTACCACAGTAGAATCCTTAGTAGATCTATAGTATGCAGATGACGTCCTGTTGGGTGAAAATACTCCTAGGTAACTTGAGTGGTAATTTGAAATTGCTCGGGATGCACCGTTCGCTGCCAAAAATCTAAATTGTTGTCTCAAGAATGTTTCCTTGTGGTCCCCTGTGTAATAGTAGGGAGTCAAGTTGTTGAGCGCGTTGAGCACTTCACTTACCCGGGAAATCAGGTCAATACTAGTGGGTCGACGAAATCTCCACCTACATGCTAAAGGTTTTATTTACTTTCGCCAACTTATGCTATGTGTGGCACCGCTGTGATATCCGGTTTTGTATTAAAGGTTAAGTGTATTTCCCTGCTATTCGCTCTGTTCTGCTGTATTCATGTGAAACATGACCATTAAATGTAGATGACTTAAGAATGCTTCGGCAGTTTGGCCACCGTCGCAATCGTAGTGTAGGCTGTTTGTCGTGGTGTCACCGCGTCATCAACGTAGAAGTCAGGGGAGAGAGGAAAGTTAGGTTGTGAATCTTCATTGGCTCAGTTGGCTGGACATGTGTTACGCAAACCAAGTCATCGTCTGTCTCGTCGCACAGTTTCAACTTGCGTTTGTTCAGTCTGGAGAAAGTTTAGGAGCAACCAGACTAAAACACGCACCAGTGCATGAAGTCTTTTACTGTTGGTTCCAGCCGTGTAGGAGAATGTAGGCTTCTCAGTTGGAGTCTGCGTGACTATAGAAGCAAGCGGTTGCAGACTCTCGGTGATATACCTGAGAGTCGATTTTAGTGGCGCAGATGTATCCATACATTATCTCCATCTTTACCACCTTAGTGAATTCCGAATATTCTTATTCCTCCATCTCTTTTACTGCTTTCTACTACTGTTGACCGATTCTTCATTTCCTTATCTTTTTTCTGAGTGCTTTCTCGTCTAATACACTTACATGTTGTGTGGCAACTTAAACGGCTACGCTGTGATGCCTGGTCCTATGTTGATTTTGATAATGAATCGTATCGATTTTCGAAACCATAAGTTTCTATACCTACGTATCCATGTAATTATAGTGACGTCAGAATTTTAGTTATGTTCAAACTCCGAAATACCGGGACCGGTTGTATCATTAGCATGGTATTAATTGTTTGAAGATAAAGTGGCACGCAGACCGGAAAGTAATTCTATCACATCCAGTTGCTACTCTATACGATCTTTTTGGAAACTTGATATTTAATTTCAATTTGCATTGAATCCACCCAGCTAGTCCATACTGGTGGTATAAGAACATCTCAGGGTAGAGGGAAATGTGTTATTTTTGACTCTACCTTTTCGAAGACATCCCCCTTTCATAACGAAAGCAGCCAAAGCATGAACTGCTAATCATCCGCGTTTACGCAGATCAACTGAAGTTATTCACACTGTAACGCTAATTACTTTTTGTCTCACCACTAATCCAACAAACCTTTCTTGTATAATAGAACCTCAAGGAACAAATGTTCCCATTAGCATAGCTTGCTAGATCATTGTGATTTGCCAACCATCACATTAGTGTAGCAGCTGTGCATTAAACTGAGTTACAGTGTTTTCTGTTTTATTCTCTATGCTCATGTTCCTAGTAATTCATCATTTTAATTTCTTTCTTTTTGGTGGTTTTGACTAACTATTGATCTCTTTCATCTTTAGTCCGAGAATTTTCAATTCCTGAGCTAATAACTGTCATTCTCAGCGTGCAGAATGAAAATATAAGTTTCTTTGGTATACATTTTCCACTTACCAGGTGTAAGATGATGCTTTGAATTGGGTCTGAACCGTCTTCTAGTTTAAAGTTAGGGAGTGAAATAGTCATTTCATTTACTTGGAAATTTAAATCAGTCATAATGAGTTGGTTCGTGATAATGTTTCAGCCTGTATGCAAAAAGACTTGCGCATTTCTAGCATTGGTGAAATATCTGACTATCCCCTATCTTGTAACGACTAAAGTTCGGCCTATTCTGTTTTTCGGCTGTGAAGAGTATAGGATATGAAAAGTCCACAGGTTTTTGATCGTATCTTCGCGGCGTCTGTCACTTGCGATGAAATTACCGTGTGAAAAACATCAAGATTCGGCGCATAATGCTACAAAAAGAAAGCAAACCAGTTGATATTGCAAACCTTCACCGACTGAGATAACTTGTGGACATTTTATGTACGTCGAACCATCGCCTGCATCAACATGTGATGTTAACTGATGACGAACTGGGTTGGATGTAGACCTGAAATGTCAAATCAAGGCATGACACCAGTCCATGAAGTCTTGAACTGTTGGTCTGAGCCCTATAGTAAATTGAAGATTGTCTTGTTGGGGTGCTCAAAACAACAGAAATCAGTGGTTGTAGACTCTTGATGATATGGTTCAGTTAGTCACAGTGGCTCAGATGTACACATCGTCAACCATTTTCTACACTTTTGTGTACCTCACTTTCGTATTTTCGCTGAATGCTGCAGTAGAATGTCTCAACTTTTGGTGATGCTTTCCTGTGCCAGATTACACTTGGTCTGACTACTTCGCCGTCATTTTCTTTGTAAGCACATTTTTATTGTGTTGCTATGTTTTACATTTCGTTTTTGCTTTTCATCCTGACAGGTCATCTTCAGACCGTATTTCAAGAATAAATACTGGTGAATCAGGTAAATCATGTACCCTGACGTCTGTAGGTGAAGCTCTACATGCACAATTCTGTTTGGCTTCCATAAAAGGATCTCATTTTGTTTCTGAATCTAAGGCTCCAGTCGACAATCTGTTGAGTTTTCATTGTCTTAGACCTTCTTGTTCTTTGATGAACTTATCTACTCCGCATCCTGATCGGCAGTATGTAAGCTATCTACGTAATTGCAAACATACTTCAGTTGAACACATCAATCGTGTTTCTACGTGAAGTGGTTCGCAGGTCACCAATCCGGTCCTGTCATCTAGTCTTCTTGACCCCCTGTACACACTTTTCGCGTAACATGTATAGATAGCGTTGAATGTATTTATGCAGACAAATGGGTAGGCGTCATGTATTATCTATTTACTGTGATACGTTTAGTTTCCTAGACGTCTTTTGCACTTCTGTATCTGTAGGACTGTACAATTCCCAAACTCATTCCTTATTATGTTGTTCAACGATTATATCTCATAATTGTATATGTTGCAATGTTCATGATTTGCAATCCATTTATTGGGAGTTTCTTTTTTAATTCCCTGCTTCGCTTTTTGTGCTTATTATTTAGATTCACAATCAGGTGCGCATTGAGGTCATACTGTATATACTTTTGCTAACCTAGTCATATCAACTAGTTGTTTATTACATTCAGTTTTTTCTTTCTTCGTTTCCATCCACTGTCTTAATTTTATATTTATCTCTGTTTGTAAATAATCATAACCAAACAGCATGAATGAGGTTGTAGTATACGTCCCTTCTCATATGCTGTCTGTATCTGAGGTTATTGCTATATTTCTTAACTTGATTGATCTTCTGACAATTTAATGAAGCACTTTTTCATTACACATGTTTTTAGTGCTTTTTGTTTTATGCTAAACATAATGTTGATACAATTACCAATTAAATTCTATGCAACTGTATGTACAAAGTCTATATAAATCCACTTCTTCTAGAAATTAGACTTTCGAGTCAACTTGGCATGCTGAAATGGATAGTATATTTCTGTAGGCCTTTCAGTTTTTATTATAACTCGCTAACAATGCTCCTAATGGGTACTACTATCTTCCAAAAATTGATATTATGCTTTTTTTCTAATCAGACGATAAGACGGAAAATTATAAAATTTTGGTGCAACTCTTTTCTCATTTTGTATGCTGTAGGGAACGCTTTTCGTAAAGTCGCTTGAGAATCATCGTGAAATGCATCTCCACACTCTTTGTACTAAATATGAATTGTCATTCCTTGAAATGACGACATCATTTAGTCACTTTGCAAATGAACTGAAGAACCAATAACGTTAGCTGTCAATGAAGCGTGAATTTATGTTCTCATTTCCTAGAAATGCTTTACTGCTACTTAAAGATGCTTGTTTTAGGGACTAACTATGCAGTACTTCTCAGGGGCTATCATTTCCTTGAAGTATCATACACACCTTCCCAACTAGTTCCAACGGCCCGAATTTCCAGAGTAAGACTTCATACTGATAACCACCAAATACTAACTGAAGGTTCACTGCAGATAATATGAGATGAAGTTCCTCATCTCCTCGATAACCTAATTAGGATTCCATAAGACCCTAAGTGCAACACAAACACTTCGAATTCATACGATTCTTTCATTTCACGAGTATGAATAACCTGGCAAGAATCCCTTAAAGATTAAAAAAGAAGCTTCACCTTCCTATTATCCCATACGCAGTGAATAATGCGTAAAACTTATTTTATATGAGGAAATTAAATGTATGTACACTACGCATAACTACCCAATATATATGACGATATTTATCACAGACTACAGCAGTCATGTTCACTCATGACTTCTTACACTGATTTACATTGTCTATGCATATGCAAGCTTTCCATTGTAGCTGATAATGGGTATTTTCACTAATTTCTAGTGTTTCTGTGTCGAATATCACGCAGATGCTAACATCCTTATGACGCTGTATCATGGATGTCAGTGTATAAGATACACTAGAATTATGCCGTTGTAAATCCTCCCCTATTCTACCTGGCTCTCAGCATCATTGAAATCCAATCATCAACCAGGTGCACGTCTTTGAATAAGGCACACGTGTTGTGTGAAAGCTCATGATACTAACTGACTGCTGCATACCTCAGCTTGTGCGCCGTGACTCGAACTCATGAACACTAGTTGGAAGTCAACCATTTAGTCCGATGATTTACAGCTCAAGAAGCCTATATTCAAAAAGGATAAATCATTAACTTCACATGATTCGTATTGTTTGCTTGATCACTTTGAAGCTGACGTCTACTTGGTTCTATATTCATTCGTCAACATGAATAGCTAAGACAATATATGATTCTGACTTACTATGTGGAGAATGCTTCTAGATTATCTGACGAGATAATTTGAATTTATGCTGCCTTGAACAACCCATTGTATGTGACGATATTTACCATAGGCTGCAACAGTCATGTTCCCTCACATATTCTTGTACTTTATGTCTATACTTCTGTCTATTCATTTCGAGGAATGCTTCTTAAGAGGATTTGATGTACTCAAACGCAATAACTAATTATCTATAGTTATTGTTCACTCACAAATTCGAGAAATATTAATAACACAGTAGTGTATTTGGGTGAATTTTCTCTTTTGCCGACCATACCAATTTACCAGTGTTCCGACTATCTAACAGGATAATCGCACACGAGCAACGTAACACGACTATGTGCCAATTGTCATGGATGCTGATTGTATGCCTTCATCTTAGTGAGTCTGTCAACGTTATGAAGGTCAGCACCAAAGTTATGTCTCATCCGAATCCTACATTTTTCCGTTTTTAGGATTTTTCCCTTTGCTGCATCCCACTCCCACCCTAGTGGACCCATGACGACCATAAGACTATAGTAAGTAAGTAAGAAGCCAATAGTTTTACCATTGGTAAGACTCATCCAATTAGCTCACTAAGGAGAGTTTCCCCTGGCTTCTGAATCTACTCCAGGTTGTCAATGAGATAAAAATTTATCCAAAACCAAAAGTTTATCCGATCGCGTGGTGCTTTGATATTCCGTCCAGTGGTCGCGATATCTACGATAGAAACAAAGTTATGACCACGAAAAAGCAAAGCATTTATGCTCTTCATGTAAAATACAAAGGTGCAAGCATTTTGACTCATCGTACAAGGTGTATTCTTACTTGAGTAACATATTACAATCAGTAACAAAATAAACAAATATCTGATGCTTTTCCTCAACGTTTTCATCTTTGACAAAACAATGAGTAGACGTAAATTGTCTGAACCGTGCAATGTATTTGCGTAACACATTTCGAACTATCTGATCGCACACGTACTTGTCATAGGTATTTATATGAAAATTCATGAAGATAACGGGTGAGAAGATGGAAAGAGGCCAAGTAGGAAGGCTGAATTAAAGACCGAGTAACAATGGAAATCAACAGAGGGAAAATAATAGTACATCGAACTTGGTTTTCATAATGGAATTTACAAAGGAAGATTCAATAAGACAACAAATCGCTTATGAACACTCAAAGGTGAACTTAACTTCCTAAGGCCTCAACAAATATAAGGATCCATCCCCAACATGTTTTGTTAATATGTGCAAAGGAAGTAGCCACATCAATTCTGTGATCTCTCTCAAAAATATGCCTGGTGATCGAAGAACTTAGACGTCTGCTACCACTATTTATGGTTTCATGTTGGTAGCAGACGTCCAAATTCTTCGATCGCCAAACATATTGTTGAGACAGATCACAGAATTGATGTGACTACTTCCTTTACACCGATTTACAAAACATGTTGGGGATGGACCCTTAGATTTGCAGATTTCCCGAAACACGAAGTGGCAGATCCACATTCTCGATTTCTTGCTGTCATACGCTCACTACCGCGGGAATTAAACAAGTGTTACAGTGCATATGTTTAGCCCTAAAATAAGCGATCCTTATGCACTTCTCATAGCTGCACTACCGAAGAAAGGTGATCTTACAGATCACCAGCGCCTAGATGAATTGCTCCGTAACATCGAGCAAGGCAGTTTTCCGGCTACTGAAGTTCCCGCACGCATGCGAAAAGTTATGGGCACACAAAGGTTCGATAATGGCCTTTTCCGAGAACTGCTTCTCTCGAAACTACGACAACCGGTGCAAACCGTGTTAGTGACACCTTAATCGTTTCCCCTCGACGACCTGGCAGCCTCAGCAAATGAAATACTTCTGATCTCCAGGAGATCCATCTCCAGCCTTTATTTGTTCTGCGAAAAACCTAATGGCCAGGATTCAGAAGTAGCAGAGCTATCCAACTCTGTTAAACAGCTGCTGTGAACCCAAAGCCCTAGTTTGCGTAGCACATCACAGAAACCCGTCCCAGCTCATCGCAGTAACTCGCGTGGTTGTTCAAAACCTGAATCCAAGAGGGTACAAATCCCTAAATGGTGTGCTTCCACGGTACTTATGATGAAGCCAGAAAATGTTGGAAAACATGTGGTTTCGACACAGGTGCAAACTGGGGAAACTGTCCGGCAGGCGCGCGTTAGTGGCAACCGTAGGTGGCGGGTAAAGCCGTTTGCTGTGCGCCACTGACGTAAAAATGAGAGTTCATTAGCTCGTCGACACCAGCCCAGAAGTTAGCTTTCTTCCCGCACCGGCAAAGGAACATCACCATGACCCATTCTTCAATCTCAAAGCAGCCAGCGGCAAGGAGATAGCAACATCTGGGAGACGGTATGCCCACCTCAACCTAGGTACACGTAAACCCACTCGCTGGATTTTCCTTCTAGTTGGTGGTTCTGTGTCCACCATCGGCATACATTCCATGAACCATCACGATCTACTCGTGGATGCTCGCCGACGACGGCCGACGGATAACAACTCAGAGTCGTCTGTTGGCACCACCATCTACCACGGTGAGAGTTTAGCCATAGCTAGAAATAAACACTCAGGTGACGCGTCCTATCAGGCAATGTTAGGGAAGCATCCAGAGTTATAGTAACCGAAACATACTCTTCCGTGCATAGCCAGCAATGTTATGCATCAATTTGCAACCACAGGTCCACCTGTCGTATCCAAAGCACGCCGTCTAGCCCTCGATGAGCTCAAAACGGCGAAAAGTGGATTCAGCCACATGATCGAAGTGGGCGTTGTCAAACCTTCAAGTAGTCTTCGGGCATTACCACTGTAAACGGCTC